CGGTGGAGGAGTGTTGTGAAGAGTTTTTTATTAGACTTTTTGAAAATTCCTCCCACAGTCGCTCCAAAGGGATTAGCGGGGCTGACACACGTGTAGCCGTCAGAGGCGTGGGGCTCATGCAACAATATCACTACGAGGCTAAGCGCATCAGAATCGAGTTTTATCACCTTTCCCCTTTGCTCCTTGCCGCATTCACGAGACCCACAAATTCGGATTTATCACTCTGTAATGACGCGATGATCTCCATCCATCCATCCATCCATCCATCCATCCATCCATCCATCTTCATCCGCTTATCCGGAGTCGGGTCGCGGGGGCAGTAGCCTAAGTCGAGAGGCCCAGACTTCCCTCTCCCCAGCCTCTCACTCCTCTGGGGGAATCCAAGAGTGTTCCCTGGCCAGGTGAGAGACATAGTCCCTCCAGCGTGTCCTGGGTCTACCTTTAGGTCTCCTCCTGGTTGGACGTGCCAGGAAAACCTCACCAGGGAGGCGTCCAGGGGGCATCCTGACCAGATGCCCGAGCCACCTCAACTGGCTCCTCTCGATGGTTTTTCTTATAAAAAAGGCTAGAGTCATGGTGAGATAGGTTTGGGTTGTTTGCAGGGTTTTTGGTCATTGTCAAAGAACTTTAAAGGCCAAGTTCACAGAGAAACTGTTTTTACTTGTTATTTTTTAAATATGATCGATCACTCAGAGTTTAACATGCAGGATAAACATGACACTAGACCTCTACCCCTATTTCCTGCATTAGCCGTTGATAGAAAATAGACGGGGAGTCACTCAGATCAGAGAAGCCAGACAATTGCGCGTCACATTATCACAACAGCATTCATGGACTCACCCCTCTTGGCTTGCAACGGGGAAGGCTGTGGTGATTTAGTGTTCAGGAAACCACAGAGTGCTTCTCAGCTAGTTGAAGCTAACCGTTAGCATTAGGGACTCCACCGCACGGCACAACTCCTTCAGGTTTGTGGAGATGAAACATCAACATTGAAAAGCAAATAAAGTCAGTGGTAGAGTCGTGTTGCTGAGATGTAAGAATATCCCAATAACACTCCAAAACTTCCTGTATTCTGCTCACCTCTCCTCTGGCTCGATTCCAGTTTACACAACAGGAGCACCAGAGCTTTCCCCCCCACAGAGGTCCTTTATATTCATTCATCGGACCATCTTTCCCTGTTCCTCACACCTCGGTATTCACCACTCATCCAACATGTGAAACCTGCTGTGACGACAATTAAAGTGTGGCCAGAAGGGACAGACACAGTGCTCCAGGACAGATTTAAAAACACAGACTGGAATATGTTCACCCACACAGACCTGGACCAGTACGCCTCATCTGTACTGGAGTTCATCTCCAAAACCACAGACAGTGTCACCACTCAGAAACGGATCACCATGTACCTCAACCAGAAGCCTTGGATGAACCGGGATACAGTACAGCCAGGGCTAATCTAAAGAAGGGTATCAAAAAAAGCCAAACACCATTACAAAAAGAAGGTAGAAGAACACTTCTCCAACTCCAACCCCAGACGCATGTGGTAAGGACTCTAGACCATTAATTCAATTCAATTTTATTCAATTCAATTCAAGTTTATTTACATAGCGCCAAATCACGACAAGAGTCGTCTCAAGGCACTTCACATAATAAACATTCCAATTCAGGTCAGTTCATTAAGCCAATCAGAAATAATGTTTCCTATATAAGGAACCCAGCAAATTGCATCAAGTCACTGACTAGTGTTAGTGACTTGACAGCAATCCTCATACTAAGCAAGCATAAAGCGACAGTGGAGAGGAAAACTCCCTCTTAACAGGAAGAAACCTCCAGAGAATCCTGGCTCAGTATAAGCAGCCATCCTCCACGACTCACTGGGGATCGAGAAGACAGAGCAGACACACACACGCACGCACGCTCACTCGCACGCACGCACGCACACACACACACAGTAATGTGTCTATAGTTATATTGTAATGTCTTAGTAAATATTCTATTTGGTGAGAGATAAACTTTATTGTATTTATCCTAGTGACTCTATAATTAAACGGGTCAACTAGTAGTAGCACAGTCAATGTCAAGGAAAGCAAAAAGTCAGACCACAGGACCACCAAATCCTCCCCTACATCCTTTGATGTCTCCTTTTTCAACAAGCTCAACAACTTTTATGCTCATTTTGAGTGAGGGAATCCCACGATCACAACCACAGCAGACATAATGCCAGACCCCTAATCTCTGACTTTCTCCCACCGATGTGGGAGCGGTGCTGAGCAGGATCAATGTCCACAAGGCTGCAGGTCCTGATGACATCCCCAGGCATGTTCTCAGAGCATGTTCTGAGGAGCTTGCAGGAGTGCTGACAGACATATTCAATCTGTCCTTGGCCCACGCTGTGGTACCGGCCTGCTTCAAATCATTGTCCCGATACCCAAAAGTTGGGTGAAGTGTCTTGCCCAAGGACACAACAGCAGGATACCCCTGGCGGGAGCTGGAATCGAGCCCATGACCCTCCGATCATGAGGCAACCCGCTCTACCACCTGAACTACTGCGATAACACCTATGCCAGAATGCTGTTGATAGATTTTAGTTCAGCATTCAATACAATCCACCCCTCACAACTTATCAGGAAACTGATAGACCTGGGCATCAGTTCCCTCATGTGCAAATGGTTACTGGACTTCCTGACCAACCGCCCCCAACATGTCCGGCTGGATAACCACTGCTCATCTACAATTACAATGAACACCGGTGTACCACAAGGCTGTGTGTTGAGCCCTTTCCTTTACGCCTCTTCACCCACGACTGCAGACCTGCCGGTGGTTCTAACACCATCATTAGGTTTGCAGATGACTCCACGGTGATTGGCCTCATCATGGATAACGATGAGACCGCCTACAAGGAGGAGGTGGACCGTCTGGCTGAGTGGTGTGACACAAACAACCTGCTGCTTAACACCGAGAAGACCAAGGAGCTCATCGTGGACTACAGGAGGAATGCTGACCCACATCCACCCATCGACATTAAGGGAACGGTTGTGGAGCGTGTGAGCAGCTTCAAGTTTCTGGGAGTCCACATCTCCGAGGATCTCACCTGGACGACCACCGGCTCCAAGATGGTAGAGAAGGCTCACCAGCCCCTCTTCTTTTTGAGGACTCTGAGGAAGAACCACCTGTCCTCAGACATCCTGGTGAACTTCTATCCCTGCACCATCGAGAGCATCCTGACCAACTGTATAACAGTCTGGTATGGGAACTGCTCAGCCTTGGACCGGGAGGCATTGCAGAGGGTTGTGAAAACTGCCCAACGCTTCGCCAGAGCACCACTTCCTGCCATAAGGGACATCTACAGGAAACGGTGTCTGAAAAGGCCTGGGAAAATCATCAAAGACCCCCAGTCACCCATCACGTAGACTCTTCACCCTCCTGCCCTCTGGGAGGCGCTACAGGAGCCTCCGGACTAAGACCATCAGGCACCGGAACAGCTTCTTCCCCACAGCTGTCTGACTCCTGAACTCTGCCTCCTGACATGGGTCACATGTCCCATACCTGTAGAAATTATTCACATAACTCACTGATCTTAACTGCACTATTGTATAATTCTGTGTAAATAAACATTCTGTACAATTGCTAAAGCATTTCTGGATGGATGCAAACTGCATTTCGTTGCCTTGTTCCTGTGACGTGTGCAATGTCAATAAAGTAGAATTCTATTCTATTCTATTCTATTCTATTCTAGTCTATTCTGTTTATACTAGAGATCACTGCAGATGTGTTGAAAAGATAGGAAATATGGTCCTTTAAAGGCTTTATATGATTGATAATTCATACATACATTTTACTGTAGTTCTGTTGTTCATTTGATGTTTGTTTTTGTCTGGGAAGCATGTTGTGGCTTCCGCTTACAAAATTTTCTCCTTCATTCCACATTTTTTACAGAGGAACCTCGTGTGAGTTTTGCACTCAAAAACTGGCAGGTGATCAAAACTGGCTATTATTTAGCATGATTGGTCAGTCTAGAACTCAACAATAAAATTTTACATATTTTTTGTTTGGTCTGTGAACTCACCACTGTTTGGAGGGATGAGGAGGGCCCTGTCAGGGAATGTGGGACAGCACCTTCTCTCTGCTGTTGTGGTTCTGACTTCAAGGTCTTCAGATTTCTGGGACCCCTTGTGGCCCCCAAACAACCGCCTGCCCTGACCGTCGGCACGAAACACCTCCTTGTATAATGGTGCGTTCGATTTGTCCTCGGAACTCGGAAATCCCCACCTCCGAGTAGGAAAAACCAAATGACCCCCCCCCCCCCCCGACCTCCTAGTTGGAAACTCGGAAAATTTTCACAACCCCGACTTCGAGGTCCAAAATGGCAGCTCTCCGTATCAACAACAGCAGTTTTGATTGAAATGTGTTTATTTTACAAGACACACTTATAGGAGCGTGTCTATAATCAATGTTTTGTGTAGCGCCTGCAACTCCAAGCTGAACAATATAAAAGTGTTGTTTTAGATCATCTTTGTCTCTCTTCAAAATTTTTTGAAGATGAGCTTTATGTGTGTTAATGAGTCGTCTGTGGTCATTTGGAGCTAAGTTTTCGAGGGCATCCCGACTTCTCCATCTCCGGCAACCAGAATGCTGTTAACTCGGGTGTGACGTCATTCCTAGTTCCGAGTTCCAACTTCCAAAGAAAATCGAACGCACCCTGAGTCTGTATCAGCCCTCAAAGCAGAATCGATTAATCTTTCATTTAAAATAGATTAGCTTCGGTAGTCTGCTACACTTTTTTGTGTCCGTACAGCTTTGGGTTTTTAATGGATTTTTGATGTATGGCAAATGTGAAATATAATTTTTGTTTACCTCTTCCTTTAGTTTCATGCTGCTTCGTGATAACATTTATTATTTCTGGTGTCAGGAGATCACCGATGACCTTTCACAGACTTTATAGAATGAGAACTGTTTCTTTTCCGCTCCAACATATTTTAAACATATTGATTTTTGTTTTCCAGGCCGTGGTTTTCAAAGCACCTTGGATCTGACGGAGCTGATTGGTGTTCCTCTCCCCCCCTCCGTCTCATTCGTCACCGGGTTTGAGGGTTACCCTGCCTACAGCTTTGGCCCAGACGCAAATGTGGGCCGGCTCACAAAGTCATTCATCCCTGATCCGTTTTATCATGACTTTGCCATCACGGTCACGGCCAAACCAACCACGCGGCGCGGCGGTGTGCTGTTCGCCGTCACTGATGCTTATCAGAAAGTGAGATGCTGTGGTTGGATCAGCTTTCCACCTGGATGTTAACATAAATGTGATATCACTTTTTACTTCTTGGTGTTATTCTTCAGATCGTGCAGCTAGGTGTAGCCTTGTCTGAAGTGGAGGATGGAGCCCAGAGTGTTGTGTTGTACTACACCGACCCGGAAACAAGAGGTAGGACCCAAGAAGCGGCGTCGTTCAAAATGGGAGACATGACTGGAAGATGGGCAAGGTTTACCCTCACCGTACAAGGTGCAGAGGTCAGTATCTTGGGGTTTTGTTACAAAAACATCACTCACAGATTGTGCAAAGCTTGTGTTTGGAGGTCTTTAGGCCTGTTTCCACTGTCAAAACTCCCGGGTAATTTTACTGGACCTTCACGGAAGGTGTGTGTTTCCATGGCATAGGACCATTTTGGTCCATTTCAGGGACCATCTGAGTACCTGAACTTATGTAGCCGTAAATGGTAGAGTGCCTGGTGTGACTTGGTGAGATTAACTTGCGTTGGTTTTACTCAGAGGTCAACTTCAGCTCATGACGTCAAGCAAATGGCATTTGTAAAGGTGGAAGAGTTGTCGGAGAAGCTGAATGGAAGCGAAATAAGCATCGTTGATGCTGCTTTGAAATCCCTGTTTTAAAGTCCCGAAGCCAAAAAGCAAAAATCCCTCCACAACACCGTCATTTACACTGTTTTCTTTTGTAATCTCCTCAAGTGTGTTTCTGGTCATCGAATGCCGTTCCATATGTCACACACCCGCTCTCCCGGTCCCCTGAATGGATCAAACTTGATGCATCGTGAAAGAACAACACCTTTTTAACGTCATCGATATCTGTGGACGCCTAATGGCTCTGATCAGTGACGTCACTCGGTGCTGAAAACGTGATACGCTGACATCTTACTAAAGTCCTGACAGGGCCGATTTTATTATAGAGACATGACAGCTGAGAGGACTGAGCCATCGTAGTCCCCCCCGCCCCCCGAATTTCCTGAACCCCTACAGTGGAAACATGCACCTGCTCATAACTGTGTGTGTGTGTGTGATGCCTCCATGCAGGTGCGTCTCTACATGGATTGTGAGGAATACCACAAAGTGGCCTTCACCAGGAGTGCTCGGTCACTCACCTTTGAACCCAGCTCGGGGATCTTTGTGGGGAATGCTGGCGGCACGGGCCTCACCAGGTTTGTGGTAAGCATCATCTCTTTATCAGAACTTTTCTGATCTGTTTGCTGAAGAGTTTTGCAGCTTTTAGTTCTCTGAACTTGACCTTGTAGGAGACAAAATGAAGTTTGAGATTCGAGCAGCATCTTCGTTGGCAGCCTTATTATGACCACAGGAGACAACGGATGAGAGAACACATGTGTTTTGAGTGCTGTCTCATCCTTTGAGAGCTCATAAATGACAAGATCCTTGAAATATGGCTGATGCTCCGTTTGAATGACTTGTTCAGCTGGAGAGTAGAAAAGTAAAAAAAAGGAATCACAAACACACAGGCTCTAGTTTATTAGACGCTTGTTTTCTGTTTCTCGTGTTTTTGTTAGACGTAAAACAGTTATTGTTCTCAATTATTCTCAAATTATTAATGATTTCATTATGAATTATTATCATATGTCATTATCAAAACCATTAACAGTTATTGGTAATAATAAAATATAAAATTTATTGCAATAATTTAAATGTGTTAATTTTATTATCAGTGTATGATGGTGTTACTATTGTAGAACCTTTTTAAAGAGCAAGTCACGTCAAAATCAACTTTTTTTTAGCTGATAATTAGTATAAATGAGTGTCTAATAGCGTTGTAGACCTGTGTAGTCATTATTTTTGTTTTGATGCATTTTCTTTGAAAACTCAAAATTCTGTCTAAAAACGTCAGTCTAGCGCCCTCTTCAGCTCAAAAGTATAGAACACGTTTATTTTGAGTCGGTTTTAGCCAATGGCTAACGAGAACGATGCTGCGTATCTAAGAAAAGTACTACTTTAAAGGTGTGTAGCACGGAAAAAAATAATTTTAATGATTATTTCTGATTTTAATGGAGTTAATAGAGTTTTTCATGCAGGCTGAACATGAAAATAGTCTCCTACACCTATCTCCTGCAGTAGCTTCTGATAGAAAACAGATGGTGAAACTCCAGGATTAGAAAATCCTGACAGATCTATGTCACACTGTCACTTAACGTTCATCCATCTTGACTCAGGACGGGGAAGGCTGTTGTTGGTTTAGCGTCCAGGAAACAGCAGAAAACATCTCTGCTAGTAAAAGCCAACTGTTAGCATTAGCAACTCCACCACACGGCAGAACTCCTCCAGGCTTGTGGAGATAAAACATCGACGTTGCTGTTAGCCAATTAGAGAAAAGATTTCCAAATATCAGGAAATAAGAAATCATATCCTGTCGTCTGAGGCAGCTTTCTCCTCCAGCTGATTCCGCTCTGCTTCTGGGCTTTTTTCACCCAGAGTGTGACTTACAAGGCATTCAGTCCAGTTAGAGACCACTGCAAATGTACCAGAGTGGTCCACACCTTTAAAACTGTATTCAGTCACCACTTAATTTATATTTGTTTGTACATTTTCAACACATTATTAAAATATTATAAAATGATTAACAGTGGTACAATTCTTCATAATATTCATTATACAATATTTTCTGTTCCATCTCTGGATTTAATTAAAAATAGCAGAACTAAAGCATCTGTGATGTTGCTGTTCTGTAAATCCAGTGAAAGGATTTCTTTTCTATGGAGACATGAAGAAAAATCCTCCAGGGTGAAGCGAGTATTGTTTATCTGAGAACCATGTGTGAGAGCTTATAGGCAGAAATCCTCTTGATACTTTAGTCAGCAACATATTTTAATAGTAGTTCATATCAGAACGCTTCATATTCTGAATAAATAAGATCACATTTTACATGTGAACGTGTGACCGGACTGAACGTGCCCTGGTTTTCTTTCCCAGATTCATGTGCTGGAAAAACTAGATGTTCCATATAATAAAAAAGGAAAACATTTTGTTCAGCAAAGTCACTTTTTCACCACGTTAAGATTTTATGAGAGAAATCTGAGAACATTTCAGAGAAGAGTTTGTGTTTTGTTGGATGATTTTTATGCTTTTATTTTGTAGCTGGTGTGCCCTTTTCCATCACAAACAGCTTCTCCTGTTCTCCGTTTTACAGCCTTCAGGAGGTAAAACCAGGTTTTTATTGTACGATAGAAGCGAGAGGCTTTGATTTTATAGTGATGTATTGAGAACAGCAGAGCATGTCACAGCACTGTGGTTAAGAGGATCTGTGATGGAGCTGAGCAGCTGATCAGACACCGAGTGAAGAAACACGGGAGACAAATGAAGGGAGAGGAAGCTCGTGGAAACCAGTGGATGATGTCATATATGAGGTTTAAACCCAAGAGGAAGAATCCGAGCTACAGATGAGTCTCTCAGGCTTTTGCAAAAACATTAAGGTGCACAAAAAAGGAGTGGAAGGGAGAGATATGGCATGCAAAGAGGTCCATAAAGAGCTCCGAACAAGGCTTCCATCCAAATCAGCACCAGTAAAGTTGCTCTTTAAAGCAGCTTTAAATGGAAAATACAGATCTGGATCTCAGTTTCTGCAATCATAGAAAAAAATTAGTTTGCAAAGTTTGTGCTTTTCCGTGATAATGTTGCTCCTTTAGATAAAACTGGCTCCAAGTTTGTTAAGTGTTAGCTAAGCCTGACAAGTTTCTGTACGAACACGGAGCGCTGTGATTGGCTCGGCCTACACTTAGCCGAGCCAATGGTAGACCTGCTGAGGCTACAATGGAGCATGACTAGACCAGTCTGCAGAGGCCTGCGAAATCTTCTCCTGCTTCTATGTTTTGTCTACATTTCCAGGCTATAGAGCTCCGGACGTCGCGTGACTCTCAGAGAGTAGACGCCATGTTGGCAGGCAACAAAGGTAAACAAAATGAACGGGATCGGCTTGGATTTTACTCTGTCGGAGTTTACTTCACACTTTAAAACCAAAGAAATCGATTTATATAGTCAGAAATTAAATCGATAAAACATCTCCGACCCTTACCGTGCCTCTGGGATACTTTTTAAAAACGCCAGAAGCTGTCGGAGCGGACCTGGCCAGGGAACGCCTTGGGATTACCCCGGAGGAGCTGGCCCAAGTGGCTGGGGAGAGGGAAGTCCCTCTCAACTTAGGCTACTGCCCCCGCGACCCGACTCTGGATAAGTGGATGAAAATGGATGGATGGATGAACAAATAACAGATTTATATGTAAGTAGTTTAAATAGAGTGCTGTGCTGTTTGAATGTATAAACTGAACGCCAAGAGAAATCACTAGTCTGATTTTTTTCCGTGAATAAAATAAATATGTCAGGCAGGAGCGTCTCAGGATCTGTCTGAGATCCGTCTCGGTGAGACAGATAATAGCAATCCAAAGTGCTTTTTATGTGTGATCTGACAATTGATCAACCATTGCTTAAAAATGAAATACAGCTTAGCCGGTTAATTGCTGTGATCATAAAACACGTAAACGGCAGCACGCAGAACTCACGAGGCAACGTTTTACGTGATGTTTACTTGTTGCTATGAGTAATAAGACAGAAAAAGCCACGCCAAAATAAGTTTAGGAAGCCCACTAAGAATCGTAATAAAAGCATTTAAAATAAATACCATACACAGTTGAGGAAACGTTGGTTTAAGTACCTGATATGAAGCGGTCGCTGCATAAGTGAAAACCTTTACTCTCGGGGTCCCACAGCTTCATTTTAGCCCGGTCACTAGCGCGTTTTATTACAATGATCCAACGTTTGCGGCATTCCGGATCTTGGGGAATCCTGTAGATGGCTCATTCCTTATGTCGTCCGCGTCTGTTCTGCATCCTGGGGCGCAACAGGAATCTACCATATTTCCCGTTTGATTGAGTTTTCTGACAATAACAAATAGCCCAGCTGCGGGCTTCTGCCTGCCAACATGGCGCCGTTTCGATTTGAACTGTTGCATGCCGGGAGAAGTGACGTCAACTCCCGGAGCTCTATGTATTATAAATACATTTGCTACATTTTCAACAAAAGCATCCACACCATCTACGTTGCTTTTATGCTGTAGTTAAGAAACTCCCAGAATCCTGCGACCCCACCCCCTCCCCCTCCTGAAACTGAAACGCACGTGCAAGCGGCAACAAGATGGAGCTAAACATCAGAACGACGCCACCATGTTGGAAAACGACTAACATCAGCCGATACCGCTGCTCATGCATCATCTGTGCATCATCATCCTCACTCTGCAAGAGTTGGTTGTACAAGTTTTGCACTCGGACACGAGGCTGAAGGAGGGACAGAGGTGGTGTTGTGATCAGAATCATCCGGAGCTTAAGGGCTTTAAGGAGGACGCGGACCCCTGGAGCTCCTGCCAGCGTGGATGGATGGTGCACAAGTTCTTTATACGTGACAGAGCAGCAGGTTTCTGGATGCCTCAGCCTAATGGGGAGTTCTCATAATCACTGGAGAGGACTGCGTGGCACATTCTGTGTTTCAGATGTGTTGTTTACTCCACAAACACATGTGTCTGATTTGGCCCGCTGTCCCGGCTCTTATCCACCCATCCCTTTGCTTTCCCTCTGTTCTTCCACCCTGTTTCTGTTTGTCACTTCTTTACCACCATGAAGCTTCACAGGCTGCTCTTCGTTCCATCAAAAGCAGGTGTTTGGCTCCGGGCTTCATCTAAACATCAGCAAAGTTGGCTGAAAGGAGACTTTCTAAACTTTATTTCATCCTGCTCTGATGGGCCTCACCCCGGTTGTAAATGAGCATTTTCTTAAAACTCCGCAGCTTCCTTTCAATGAAAATGTTACATTTTTGTGTCAAATTTCAGAAAATTTACCCACAGAATTGAAATCAATCACTTTCAAAGTTCTTCCAGTAGCTGGAGTTGGTCTGGTATGATGAGCACTTAGAGGACTAACTAGAGGCTTGGCTGGTATCTGGAAAGTGATCGCTTCACTTTGCAATCGTCGTGAAACACCAACGCTAACTCTTACTGTTCTTCATCCCTCCTCATCTTCATCAGGGCTCCATCCAACAGCTGGTGCTGAAGTCCGACCCCTCTGCTCCAGATGACCAGTGTGAGGAGGACGACCCATATGTGAGTCTGCATGAGAAATGGTCTCCACAGTAAACCTGGAACAGTTGCTCCCTCTGCTGGTCAAATGAGGATCATGCAGGAAGTTGGGTGTAGCTGCGACCGAGTTCACTTGTATAACAAAAACTTTATAAAAAAGAATCCCAACAAGTATGACACAACTTGAAAAGCTAATATATTATTTGTTTTATGCACAGAACTCACCGTCAAAGTTCTTAAAGTGTCTGAAAACTATGTTAGAAGCACTTATGCTGCTGTTAAAATGCTGGTAGACGTTTACTCAGAGCAAATCATTGAAGAGCAAATAGCAGGTTAATTTTTTTTTCTAATTCATATAAAATGCTGTCCGAAAAATACTATTGAAAAAGCTGATTGGTTTTAAAATACATAACAGCAGAGTTTTGTAGTGGAACGTGGCCTTTCTCAGCAAAGCTTTTTTCTAAATGTGAACCTCTGACGTAACCAAAGGGAGTCAGAAGCTCGGCGCTGCCTCAGCTCAGTGTGGAGAGAGGCTAGTTTTAGGGTAGAGTCGAGGCCGGATTAACCATACGGGCAACTGGGCAATTGCCCAGGGGCCCACATACTCTAAAGGGCCCAGGCCCAGGGCAGCAAGAGCACGAGCAAAATACTGTATCTGTAATCTTCTGCTTTATATTAAACTAGGGTGACCGTACGCCCTCTTTTCCCCGGACATGTCCACTTTTCACTCTCTGTCCGGGGGGGGGGGGGGGGGGGGGGGGGGGGGGGGGGGGGGTCCTGTATTGATGAAAATGTCCGGTTTTTCATCCAGGAGCAGGGATCGGATTATGGGGAGCTGAATATCCTACACATCCAGGGGAGCCGGTGTCGGTACAAGATCTGCTCGGGTGCAAGATCAGCTCGGGTCCGTCGACTGCCGATGACATCTAAGTAGTTGATTGGCTGAACATGAACCTTACGGAATTACGTAATCACGTAACGTTGTTATCACGTGACGTTGGTCCAGGCAAATTTTTTCTATTGGAAAGATGGACAACTTTTACAAAGAAATCCATCATTACCTCTTTGAAAATACACCTTTAGCATAGAGCTGCAAGTATATTAGGGCTGAACGATTAACTTTATGTGCAATTAAATTGCGATGTGACAAAAGGAGATTTTCTAATGGCAAAGGCAGCAATTTGGCAGCGAGTGGTTAGCGCAATGCTAATATACATGGAAAAACCCATAGGAATGCTAATGCTAATATCGCCGATTACATTATTACAAATTATGAATTAGAAACGTGCCAAATGATTACATTTGGAGTCTAATAGAAAGTAAAACTACCATCAATCAAATAAGTACAGACAGGTATTTTAGCAGCAGGTAACGAAACTGCTAAATTCTTTCCAACAGTATAGATGTGTAGTGTATTTTGTCCGAGTGGGTTTGCCGTACTTTGACGTCATCGGCAGTCGAAGGACCCCGAGCCGATCTTGCACCCGAGCAGATACTGTACCGACACCGGAAAAACGTTTCTACCCATGTTACATCATTCATGGACTCTTTTGAGCAGAGAGCACAGAGAGCGGCAGAGCGATGCTCCAGGCAGCTGCGTCCAGCGCACGGTCCATTCTCAAAGTGGCACAACCAAAAAACTATAACTGACACACGATGGTTCATGTCCGCACATGTTCTCTACTTTCTGTCTTATTTGGGCCTGAAGCACTCTGCTACTGCGGAGATCATCACCTGTGCTGCGGTGATTTCACCTCACTGACGCAGCATCGAAACGCGCTCTCCGCTTTGCGGTCAGGAGATCCCTTTGATCTGCTCAGAAGTAACCGATGAGGTGAAGAAGTAAGAGTCCAGGCAGCAGATTTTCTGGAGAATTATGAGGAGATGCAGGAAGATGAGAGACGGACAGGACAGGAAATAGTTAAAAAAAAACAAGAAAACAAAACTAAGTGTTGAAAAGTAAAATGTAGGTAGATTTATCTCCACTACACGTTTTTACCTGTATAAAACAATGTTATACACATGTAATATTTATACATCTGATACAATTCAGATCACCTTCAAAACTCAGTCACACACCCAGGGCCGTTTCAAGGCATTTTGGGGGCCAAGGCAAAATGACCCCCCCCCCCCCCCCCCCCCCCCCCCCCCAATAACTGGGCTCCCCAGAAGCCTCTGTGTAATCCATACCCTCTCCAGGAGTGTTAATTATACAGTGTTTATAAAAGTCCCTCAGACATGACTGACATGTTCTAATATTATCAGATGAAAAACTAAATGATCAGACATGCTGTCTCATCTGCTTCTTTTCTAAACTTGCAAAAAGTAACAAAACCATTTGAAAGCCACTATTTGTGGATTCTCTGAAAGTTTCCATGGAGTGTGTGACAACTTATTTTTTCATTGATCCTATCGTCTAATCTCACAGCTGAAACAAGCATCCTTAATAATCTGTGCACAGGAAGCGTACCGACGCTGTAGTAAAACAAAAGGTATAATAATTTATTATTAATAAAACCTTGCTGCAGCACTAAAGCAGAAAAATGAGATTTTACAATAAATATGCAAAATATTTACATATGAATTGTTTTAGAGCCCTTTTATTGGCAGAATCTGATATTAATTTAGTTCTTACAAAAAATGGGTCCCAACATGGTTTGTGTGGCGTTGCCATAGTGTGACGTCATAGGCACAGATCCCCCGTCCTCTTTTTTGGAAATGGAAATATGGTCAACCCGACTTTTGCACTGCACAGAGACGCTTCGCTGCCTATGACTGAACGTCAGTTGAGCAGTTGAGAGTCAGTCTCATGCAGACTGACCAATGAAGAGAGGGCCTCAGTCCACACGAGGTAGGTCAAAGGTTACCCTGAGCGGGTTACGTGATGTCAGGCATTCAAGTATTGAATATATTTATTGCATATTACAGTAAAATATTCTGTATGTGACCATATTATGGTGATCCTGGGTTCGTGATGATTGTTGCCCAGGGTACAACAGAGTGTTAATCTGGCCCTGGGTAGAGAGGTCATGTGACCCAGTCAGTGTGTGTGTTTACTAGTGTTGGATTGTGTTCATGTTGATAAACTAGAGTGTGTGAAGGCTGTACCAACTCCAGCCTGTCTGGACTTCGAGTCCACGGGTTTCCAGATAAGAGAAGCAACGCCTCCATCTCCGTGCCTGAGGGCGTTTCTGCAGCTGAAAGACGGACTTCTGTGGCCCACATCGGTCGGTCCCGGGACAGGGAGGTCTGCGCTGGGCTCCGGAGACCCGTGGTGGGGTTTAAAAAATTAAATGCAGATTTCTGGAGCTCAGATCACCATCAGAACAAGGTCAGAACCGACCACCGGAAGAGATGCACGGCTCAGCGGGCCAGTTGGTTTCCGGGCCGGAACTGGATCAGAACCGCCGCCTTGACCACCAGGAGAGGATGTGTGGCTTTTAAAAATACCAGCTGGACTGGCTTGCTGGTGTTTGGGTCGGATCTAGCTCACAGAAGCCCGCATGAGCTCCAGAACCGGAAGCGCTCCCTCTCTCTGAGCTCTAAACTACGTTACGTTAGCGAGTATGAGACCGCTGACAGACGCTCATTAGTATTAATATTGTATTAACTGACCGATACTATTTTAACTGTCTGGTACACGATAGTAATCAGTACAATACTGTGATGTTAGCACACAAGTTTAAGCTAACATGGCTAACTCACCAGACACCTGCTGCTCCTCTATCTCTCTGCTTTGGCCGATGGTTTCTCCCTCTGGTGTGTCTCTGCTCTCTGGGGCGAGCAGCAAACTCATAACTTTACGGTTTTGGTCCATCAGAAGTAGAATTATAAACATTTAAAGTTTCCTCTGTGTCAGCGCCGCTTTAGAATCCATGTTTTTCTCTGGATTAAGCTAACAGGACTCCCTCAGCTGACGTCACTTGGTTTCGCAAATAAAAAAAAACGTTCTCACAAAAATGACTCTAAAAGCCTAAATAATTTATGTTTGTGTAAAAAAAAAACTTTTTAAAACGAGTTTCTTTTATGCTTCTCTAAACATCGGTTCACGGGAGTCTCTAACCGGCAATTTGCTCTTTAAATCTAATCACAAAATGATCTGAAGATGAAGGGAAAAAATTAAAACTGAGGTTTATGCACTGACTGGACAAGAAAACTAAACATTAACACTGATCAGAAACAAACATCTGATTCTGACCTTTTTTAAAATCTGTTTTCCTCTCATTTTTTTCTTGCTTCATTCTGGAACTTTGCTCAGATTTTGATAAAAACAACGTTTGCTGACAGTTACATTTGAACCTAGAATATTTAGTTTTTCATCCCGATTTGTTTATCGGCTCCTCTCCGTTCCTGCTATTTTGTTATTTCGTTTTCTCGCCCTGCCGTTTGAACGCTGGTGCCCTCTGCCTCTCAGGGGATGAAGATGGAAACGGCTGATTCTCTCATTTTCACTTCAGGCTTCTGGCTTCGGGAGCGGAAATGAAGATTATGATGGCCCAAATGAAATAGAGGAAGTAAAGAAGATTGTGGAGGAGAGAGAATATACCATGGTGTGTATGGATGCCTGCGCACACACACACACACACACACACACACACATGGTTACTCCACTGGTCTTTTACTGCTTTACTGAGCTGGACTTGGACCAAAGAAAGCAGCTCTTATCCTTGCAGGCCTGCTGGAGACGGGAACACGGTGGTATCTGCTGCTTCCAACCACCTCAGTTCCCTCTGAGACAAACCACGGGTCACAGAGAGGGTGGAGGGTCGAAACTCAAATAGAAATCGCAGCAAGCCTTGGGTCTTAAAGAGGTGCCCTCAAGTAAAATGTATTATTATTATTATTATTATTATTATTATTATTATTATGAAACAGTGCTGGATTATTAGACTAACTCAAATAGCTGCTCTGGAAAATCTTTCGCTCTGTGCCAGAGCCTTTTGGCTCAGCTTCTGTGGATCTCCTGATTCTGTCCGATGTTTGACGGATCTGTTATACTCCAAGACTTATTTTTTATGCTACTTTTTATAAATGCAAAAGCTCTTTCATTTCCTGTTTTTATGCACAACATTTTACTCCCAAGAAGTGTTGAGAAATAGTGAATAAAGATTATGAAATCCCAGTCCCAGTCACCATCTTTGTTTTAAGGCTCTGACATAATGGTTGATGAATGTATAGACCGTCTAATCTGGTCATGCGTTACAAAGAACAGCCGTCGATGCTCCACAGTCTGCTGTACGTTTCTGCTGCAGGTTAAGGGAGTCGTACGATGACTTTTTAAGTTATAATAGTTCAATGTTCAATACAAAATATGTTTATAAAGTGTTTTGCACAAAATCCTTCTTACACAAAGCAATTTCAACATTTTTTATATTTGGCTTTTTTAGTACCTTCCAGAAGGAGCCATTTCAGGGCTCTGTCACTTTAAGAAAACAAGCTTTAGCTGGCCATGCCGACGCATCCCCCTCTCACGCTGCTATTAGCTAAGAAGCTCTGGTGTCCAGTAGCTCAGATATCACTTTTTTGATAAGTCATCGCACATTTTTTACTGTTCTCAAAGATCAGCAGTTGACAAAAATGTCACAAATCCGACATTTTCCCGAAATTGTTATGAGGAACTGAGCTGTGTGAATGTAGAAGCCTGCAGTGAACCTCTTCACCTCAGCTCATCACTACGTGTCACCATCTACCACAGAGGAGAGGCTGCAGAAGCCAAGATGCAGGCTCAGAAAATGTCTCATTTATTTACTTAGAGGGGGCGGGGCTTAAAACCCATACCCAAGCTAGCCACTAAGTGGAGCTCCATCTCATTTCATGATCTGTAGATGGAGACGATGGCAGCAGATTTTGGAGACTTGTTTCGTTCTCTTTAATAGTAGAATAGCTGCAGACCCTTTACTGAAAAAAAAATCGCATTAAGGTTTTTAAATGTAAAAACAACAATATAATCTTTTAGTAGCGCCCTACAATGTTTCTCAGTTAAATAAGACTGGAAAGGAGATCTCTCCAGCCTTCTTTACATCCAAAAAGGCAAAAACGGACAGAAAAATGTCTTTAACAATCATATTGACTGCATTTATGGGACTGGTGTTTGTAAAATAACCACATTTTTTGGCTTTCCTGCCAGAATTAAGATGAAAAAATTATACTAACACTAAAGTTTTATTATTATCTGATGACCCAGAGTGGCTTTTAGCTCCTTTAGCACAAAAGGGCATGGAAGGCGACACATATTTTGGGGTGAACTAATTATATTAGGTAGGAAACACACAGAAAGTAATTTTAACTGTTTATTAAGGTAGAAAATAACATGTTTTGCCTTCATTAATCAAAATAAATGAGTGAAAGTTCAAAGCTTTGCTACAGTTTTAGTATTTTTTCTGGACTGAGAATGTCGACTTTTTTCTGGTAAAAAATAAAAATAATTGAGTTTGTGGAGATTTCTGGCTCCTGGTTTCATGTTTGGTTTAAAAAAAAGTGTTTTCTGCTCATAATAATGATAAGAAAACCAGTGAGTGATTTAGTTGTTTGGGGTGGTTGCGATCTCCTGGCAGACATGAATCCAACACATTTCTATCAAACTGCAATAAAACATCTTTATTCTCAGTGAAGCCTTAGATTTTAACCTGGGAAGGAAGTTTTGTGTGTTTTTGTGCCTTTGGTGACGGAAGATTGTGTGGAAATAACACACATTTATGACCAAATCTGTCGGTAAGACACATGAATCACATGTTCCTAGCACTCCTGCATGTTTGCCATATTTCTTATGCATCTAAAATATTTGTTTAATTTTAAATCGTTCCCTGCATCTGCACCGAGGCCCGTTACGAGACAGATTTCAATTTAACGCTTCAGAACAGAAAGATGCATCACTTTTTGCTTTAATGTTGTCAAACTCGTGAAATCGAGATGTTTTCTGATCATGTTTGATCTTGTGGCTTTGATTTTTGATGTTTATTATAAATTCACATGTTTATAACGATAACACTCTAAATTATGAACTCCTATCTTTGTTTAGCCTTTTCCAGACCTGGATCCAACTTACGGCGTCCCGGTCCGAGCTCCGCCCACCGACGTCCCGCTCAGTGATGATGAAGACTTTCAGGAGTCTTCTGGAGAAGAGGAAACAACCACAGAGAAAGGTGAAATGTGTTCATTTTTAACACTTTGACGTTAAAAAGTCATTAAATTATATTTTTCTCAAATGCTTTATGCATCAGAAGTAATATGGGTTATAAAATAAATAAATTAATAAATACTTAAAATATTAAAAATAACAAAAATTGAAAATAATCATTTTATTCAAATTTTCCTGTAAATATATTTTTAAAAATGTTCTATTTTTTTGTTTTTGTTATTGTTGTGCATCTGCACTTTATGTTGTCAATGTCTACGCATGGGACAGTGTGAAATGTAATTTAATTCCTTTGTATGGCAAGCACATTCGAAGAAATTGACAAATAAAGTATTCTATTCAATTCTTAAAAACTTTTTCAGTCGTGTTTCCATAAGATTAACGCTAACCTGTCATTTAAAGGGTTAAATAACATTTTACGTAATCCATAATAATCCATAATGACAGAACTTTGAAGCATTTAATTTTTGGGTTGTGTTTCTACATTTAACCAGCAGATGGCGCGGTTCTCCTTTTTTCTTGTCCACCTTTTCTGCCTCATTTTTATTTCAGCATGTTCTGCTCGTCATCACCTCTCGCTTCCCAAACAGCAACACGCTCACCTCGTTAATGACTTATTTGTGTTGTTTTCCTCAGCGACACCGCGTCCGACCAGCGCCCCTGCCCTTGAGCCTGACGCTGTGAGTTGACCTTTCCTCCTCATGTCAGACCACTTTTGTTTTTGTTGTTCAGCAGAACGGTGTTCCATCAGCGCTGGCCTGTTTTAAAGTTCTGTGGCACCAGCGTGAACACCTCCAGAACTTACCCCCCCCCCCCCCCCCCCCCCCCCCCCGGATTTCTCTCTCCAGGTGTTTAGAGGACAAAAAGGGGAACGAGGAGAACCGGGTCCCGCTGGGCCCCCGGGACCTCCTGGCTCCCCAGGAGGATTCTCTGGTGAGGGAAGGGAACCTGGACCGAGAGGTCCACAAGGACCACTGGGATCATCAGGACCTCCAGGACCTCCTGGAAAAGATGGAGAGCCTGTGAGTATAATCAGCCTGATTTTGGACCAAACTGCTTTCCGTATACAGAAGCTTTTGGAGCTTTTTTCTGAAGTTTTTTCAGACTTTTGTGTCAAAGAGTCTGATGATGTCTGATGTTTCTGTTTTTAATCTGTCCTCCAGGGACGCACAGGTGATCACGGTCCTCCAGTAAGTAAAACTCTCCTAGTCTATCAGATTTCTAGGCTTCCCCTTGTGGGTCTCATCTTTTACCGCTTCAGAAAGCTGCTACCAGTAGAACATGCTGGCCTTTTTTCTACTGACTCAGCAGCCGTTGGTCCTGATGCAAACATCTGAGTTGATTTGGTGACTCTACCTCTCCACTCTCAGGGTCCAGCAGGATTCCCTGGACTCCAAGGAGAACCTGGTCCCAAAGGAGAAAAGGTAAAAAAAAAAAAAAAATCATTTAATGATGGTAGAAAATGATAAAAATAAATAAAACTGCTGCCGTCTCATTCAGGGTGATCCTGGTTTCGGTCGTCCTGGTCCTCCAGGGCCTCCGGGACCTCCTGGACCTCCTAGCAAGTCTTCCATGATCCTGGTCAGTTGTTGCACAACATTTTGATGTAGTTTTTTAGGATTTAGACTCTAGAGTTGAAACTCTATAGATTTAGCTGATGTAACTTGATGAGAAACAGTCGGTCCCTGGCGGTTTTGACTGGTTCTGGTCTCTGCTCAGCAGGAAGGTTCTGGATTTGAAGACTTTGACAGCGATACAGAGATTATCAGGGTAAGGGAGGATCACTCTTCAGCTGACCGTCAGACAGCTGTAAAAGTACCTTATATTAATGTCGTGTTTTATCAGGGTCCTCCAGGTCCTCCAGGACCTCCAGGGCTGCCTGGGCGTCCAGGAACCCAGTCTGCAGATGTTGTTGCGGGACCTCCTGGGAAAGATGGAAAGGATGGAGAGAGGGGTGAACCGGGACTGCCTGTGAGTTTATTTTGTTCCTGGTTTTCTTTGGATCCACAGCTTAATTTTACCTTTAGGTGCGAGCGGCCTCTGAGCTGTGGGACCACACTGAGTCCATTATGAACCAGATGGTGAAAAACTAAATTCAACACTAACTGATCAACTTTTGATGTGAGCTGGTACAAATTCACATTTCCAGCCTCCATTTGCCCAAATCCAACGTAAACCATCTCTCTGCTACTGAAACTATCTTTCTGATTGATCTTGGGTTGGTAGGAGACATTGCACTCCTGATACAGGTGCACGCTTTCGTAAACCTCCGCTGGGCTCAGTGGAAATAGAACCCACCCTGAGAGAGAAGCAACGATTGGCTCCTGCAGAATTTTATAAGTGGGTTTACCATCCTGGACCAGTAGGGGGCAGTGTGCAGACGTTTTAATCTTTTTATTGTCCACTAACTACTACTACTAAGTAGAGGTTACTGGACACCCCATTGGGCGCTGGAGAGCATAACAGCGTTGCCGCCATATTGGGTGGGTCCCTCACTCTCCAAACCCAACCGGAGTCTTTGCAGAGTGGGCAACAACCGGCACTCTATTGAAAACAGATCTTGTGGATTACTATTAACTTTTCTACTACTTGTTGGGATTTTATGTTTAAATTTATGTTATTATATTTGTATTTTAACCATCATACAATTCCATTTGTCAGATTTTGTGAAACAGCATAATAAAATGTGTTTCTTAGTTGGGTAAGCACCGTCAGTAGAGATAAATGTACTGAGGGAGAATGGAAACCCATCCAAGATGGCGGCCCATGGCTACACCAAAGGCCAGTCCATGAGGTGTCTACGTATATGACGTCTGTGCTTCTTCTTCTTCTTCATCATCGTCTTCTTCTTCTTCTTCTTCTTCATCTTCTTCGTCATTGTCTTCTTCTTCTTCGTCTTCTTCTTCATCTTCTTCTTCTTCATCTTTTTCTTCTTCGTCGTCTTCTTTGTCTTCTTCTTCGTCATCTTCTTTGTCTTCTTCGTCTTCGTCTTCTTTGTCTTCTTCTTCTTCTTCTTCTTCTTCATCTTCTTCTTTTTCTTCTTCGTCGTCTTCTTTGTCTTCTTCGTCTTCGTCTTCTTTGTCTTCTTCTTCGTCTTCGTCTTCTTTGTCTTCTTCTTTGTCCTCTTCTTCTTTGTCGTCTTCTTCGTCTTCGTCTTCTTCTTCATCTTTTTCTTCTTCACCTTCTTCTTCTTCTTCCAGTGAAGACTTGAGATTAAGAAAGAAGTTCTTAAATTTAGTGGCTTAATATTTAAATTTAGAAGCACACGACTAAATAAACAAATAAATCTGAATACTTTACACGAACCTGATCAGGAGCTTTATTACACAGGCCATCTTGTTTTTTTACAGCGTTGTTTTCCCTCAATAGTAAATCTAAGAAGCTCTTACTGAGTGTGTAAATGGACCACTTACAGTTTAACGTCATTAACGGCTCTTTTGGCTCATACATTGTTGATTCACCAGCTGTCTTCGGTAAATGCTGCTAAATGTCTGATTCTGAGGAAAGTTGTGCTGCTCCTGCAGGGAGTCGATGGAAGAGATGGAGATCCGGGGCTTCCTGGCAGGAAGGGAGACCAGGTGAGGCTGAACAATAAATAAAAAAAATAATAAACTCAGCTTTTCCGTTTGTGTTTCTGACTCTTTTGTAAAAAGCGCAGCCTGATTTCCCCGGTGCAGACCTGTAAGCGCTTTGTTAGCTGAAACAATTAAACAGCAGAAAAAAGCCGGGCTCTTAATGAGGTGGGCTAATAAAGCGGAGGGGCTCGAGAGTGTAAACAAGTCTGCTGCTTTTTAATGCAGACCAGAACCAAGAGTCTGTCTCGAGTCAACAATGCAGCTAATTTGATTTTATTATAATTCACTTGCTTGTTAATAGGGGGAGCCTGGAGTGAGCGGGCGGCTAGGACCAAAGGTAACGTCTATTTGCTGCTTGTTTGAAAGGATAATGAACGATTACCAGCTTCAACCGTGATAATTACGCCTGCTTTGTGCGGTTTATTCACCATTTCTGTCCCCGTGGCTGTGGATCCTCACAGCTACAATAAACACCTGGGGGAGGATTTATTTTGTAATTTTGTCTCTTCCAGGGAGATCAGGGTCCACCCGGGTTTCCAGGTATGCCGGGGTCACCGGGTCCAGAGGGGCAGCCTGGTCCCAGGGGTCCTCCTGGCCCTCCTGGGCCCCCGGGACTCTCAGGAAGAGGCTTCATCAGGTCGTTTGAGGTAAACTAAATGAATAGAAGACGTGTTTGTGGGACATGTGTACACAATAAACCAGCTGAACAGAAACAGGTTGAATTACAGTTCTATTTATTAGGGATGAGCCGGATACTCGTTTCAGACTAGTATTCGGTACGGATAAAGCATTTTTGACGAGTTCAAGCATGAAACGAGTAAAACTCGTAAATATCTGTAATCGTGCTGAAGGAAAATCCTCATTGGGTAACTGACTGTATTCCCGCTCTGTGACTGGCCAGTCACATAGAGCGCCCGCCCCTCCCTACACACAAAACTGCAGCGGGAGCTCACAGCTCAGTCCGCGTCTGGTCCATCCACGCACACACACACACACACACACACACACACACACACACACACACACACACACACACACACAGACAGTAACGGATCTCTCTGTGCTTGCTTCACTGTTCACGTTTCTTCAGTACTCCCTATGTTTTCTTCGGTTTGCTTCTTTTTAAAGTTATTTAAAGTTACTTTTTTTGTAACGTACGTGGTGCATTTGACAAGACAGAGCTGAAAACGGCTCGTGCTGCGTCAGTCACTGCCTCCGCTCCGGTCGGGGTTTTTTTTCCCTCTCTCTCTGTCCTCTTTCTCGGGATCCACTCCCTCTTTCCTTTTCACTCTCTCTCGTTCTTTACATTTTTTAATCACAAATGTCTATTTTTTGCTCATTTTAAATATATTTTAATCATTTTCTAAATTCTTTTTTCTATTTTACATGTTTTGTTTTTGTGAAGCGCCCCGTGATTTTTATCTTGAGAGGCGCTATAAAAAAGATCTCTCTCTCTCTCTCTCTCTCTCTCTCTCTCTCTCTCTCTCTCTCTCTCTCTCTCTCTCTCTCTCTCTCTCTCGTAATTCATGCACTTAAATATTAATGTTCTGATTTTACTGAAAAACTTGTTCTGTAATAGTTCCTTTACTACTGTGATCAAAAACATTTAATCTCAACTCTGAGGCTGCTCTGTAAATAGTATTCAGATAAACAATACACATAGCAACTTCTGATCAGACTTAAAATAATGTATTGATGTAAACCACACCCACTTCCGGGTTAGGCCACGCCCACTCCGCGTACAGATACAGATAGTGGTGTACTCGCTCATCCCTACTACTTATTTATTTATAATGTAAATTAGTTTGTGGAGATGAAGCGTTCTACCGTGAGCTGCTGGAAAATCTTCCAAACTAATCTTGAAAAGTGGATTTATTTTGATAAGTGTGTAAGAAGTCACCAGTTTGGGTTAAGTCAAGGACGTCAGTTATTTAAGGATTCATTTATGTTTTAATTATACATTTTTATTTTTAATCTAAAATGTAAATCATTAGTATATTTTTAGTTTTAGTTTATTTATTTATTTATTTTGCTATTTTCCAAGGACCTCGAAGGATCTGGGATGTCGGATGATTTCGGATCCTTGGTTGGTCCACAGGTATGTATCATAAATGTAGGGCGTTCAATTGAATTTTACTTTCATTTCAGTTTTATTTGATTCAGTGTAGCCGCTTTGTAACTTTTAACCATCTTTAATTTTATAGGGACCTCCTGGACCTGAAGGACCGAAGGTAAGGAGGACTTTGTTCATGTTTGCATCTGTTACACTGCATCCATGTTTTTAACCAACTATGTGTGTCCATGATGCTGTGGGTGAATGAAACCTGACTGGAGCCTCAGTTGAACTCTAAATCCAGGATGCTTTTCTTTGTTTTCCTCCTCCTGGTCTTTCCCAGGGTAAAGACGGTTCCGACGGCCTCCCAGGAAAGCCGGGGCAGAAGGTGAGTCCATCTGCAGCTTTGTTCTGTAGCTAATGAGGGCATCTCAGGAAATATCAAACAAGCTTAATGCCAGGTGAATGAGACTCAAAATAAAAGCTAATCTCATCATTTAAAGCCAGGCTCATGGCATTAAAATCTAAAAAAAAATATATAGAAATCATTTAATTTGCTATTTGTAGTACTTCAATCATCCACCAGAAGGCAGAACACAAGTTTTTGAGGAAAGCACTGATCCTGAGGTAGAGGTCTTAGAAAGTAATGAATGTATCAGATGTGACGTATGTGTCCTTTTAAACATTTAAAGAGACAATGTGTAGTTTTTACTGTTAATCTCTGGAAATATCCATCAAAATGTTGTTGAAAATGAATGAAATGATACCCAGTTGTTGAAAAATATTGGCAGCTTCGTAACATATAACTATAAATATCTGATCCAAAATACAAGGGAGCAGGTCTAAGTCTCTGGGCGACGCCATATTAGATGCCACGTTTCCTTCTACGGGAGCCCATGAGGACAAAATGCATTTACTGATGTGTAACAAACGATTACAAAACGTTCACCGTTAATAAACGTTGTTTTACACGTTTACCTCTTCACTTGCTGCCAGTGATGAAATGGCGTCTGATGTGCTTTTCACAGGCCTTTTTGACCCTAATGGGCATCCGTTGTTTAGGTCTTACTCCAACACAAAAGTACTGCTTGCTTGCAATGATTTAGGTATATACTGCCCCCTAACGCCAGGAAAAATACACACGGTCACTTCAAATTCACATTGCGGTTATTTTGGCAGCAATGTTAAAACTTGACCCCGGGATGACCTCACATTAGCTACTGGTGATGTTTACTCCCATAAATGTCCACAGAAGTCATTTTAAAAAATGCAAAACAAACATCTTATGAATTAATGACTGCATGAGTATCTATGAAATTTTGGAGATTTGAGCCATTAAAAATGGTGGCAATACACTTCCACTAGCAGTTAGCTTATCAATCTTAAAGAACATGAACAGATTTTCTCTGGACAGAGGTCGTTTCAGTGCGTTTACATCTTGCTAAGCTTCCTTGTTTGAACCATACCAAAGATTTTTTTTAAAGTTACTTATAGAAGTCATACATGTGATGATGGTTTCTGCAGGGGGAGGTGGGCATCAAAGGACCTCCTGGGACTCCGGGTTTGGATGGACTCAAAGGGGAACAGGTTAGTACTAATCACACTTTGGTTGACGGAGACTTTTCAAAAATCCAATTAGAAATCTTTTTAAAGGGACATTATGGAAGTGTGACAGCCAAAACAAGTATAGAAATAATAAATATCTTCTTCAAACATTCTCCTGCAATGTCCTGGTCCTGTAGAATGAGCCCTGGCATTTTTACTGTGATTGCCTGTTTTTCTGTAAAATCACAGAAAAAGAGAGATGCTCGGGTCGAGCAGGCTGCTTCATGTGCGTTCATGCTAGGCATAGCCCTCCGAACCGTTCTTTGAAAGTTGTTTCAGCTGTCATCAAGGAAATAAATGTTACAGATACAGGAGATGCCACTGGTGCTTTAGCTTGCCTGGGAAGACTTCAGACTCTCGTGCAGAAGACCTGGGTTTGATTCTGGATGTGAACATAGTTCATTCAGAGTTTCTTTTTTACATTAATAGTATTTTTTTTTACAGTAAGATGCCCAAATTTTTATTTGAGACTCGCCGAACGGCATTGAATTCACAGATAAAAAAGATGTGGGTTCAACTTTCATTTTGGAACAATTTTTCAAGCAAGGGAAGGGAATGATCTGAGCATGCAGGAGGACTGACCCATCTTAAACCTTTGTCGGCTGTGCTGAAGAGAAAGGTACAGAACAAATTATTTCATTAATTAGCTGCGTGTTCTCCTGTCCTCTGTCCTCCTCCCCCCCCCCATTACACACACACACGGGACTGTCTCAGCTGTTATTTTCGTTAAGGAGTGTGCACGTACAGCATGCGCGCCTCGTGCACGAGCCTCCTATTGAAGCTGCCGTTACGCTTTTGGCCTGAGGGGGCAATCGCGAGCATGAAAATTCAAAACTCCGTAAAGTCCCTTTAATAAGATTACTTCACAACGTGTTAAATGAGAATTTTAGCAGTGAAAGAAGAAAAAGATGATTTTCTTTGTTTCTGATTACAGGGTCAGAAGGGGGTTAAAGGAGATCCGGGACAAAAGGTGAAATAAACCCTGCGAGTATTGTTTATTCATCAAAGAGCGGATCTTACACAAAACTATTTTTAGGGAGAGGCAGGACGAGATGGGCTCAGTCTACCTGGCCTCCCAGGACCACCTGGACCACCAGGACCCCCCATCAACCTCCAGGATGTGAGTTTCATCAGCATCATCTTTGTTTCTGTCACTGAGATCTTACTGACCAAACTCACCCCCTCTCAGCTTCTGCTTAATGCTACAGATGGTGCCTTCAATGTCTCAGGAATTTTAGACTTTCAGGGATCTGCTGTGAGTATCAGACAAAAACCAAGTGGGTTTTCATGGTTTGAGGCTGTAGCAGTCTCATGCTTTCTCCATTTACTCACGAACATGTTTGCAGGGACCACAGGGTCCAAAAGGGGACATCGGGCTCCCGGGTTTACAAGGACCTGCAGGGCTTAAAGTAAGTGGAATGTGGACACTGCTCCTTGAAACACGTTAACTGAAAATAATTTGACTTCATTGACAGTTATGAGGTTAATATTTGCTGCTGTTTCCTCGTTTTTATGAGTAACTTGTGTGTTTGCACGCAGGGCGAGAGAGGTGAGCCAGGAGTTGTGATCGCAGCAGATGGATCCTTGATGTCAGACCGGGCTGGACCAGTGGGGCCCAAAGGAACCAAGGTAACACATCCTATCAGCTCCTTCCACCACAAATCGGATTGGTGTGTAAAGTTGACATGACCTGTAAATCACTGCACATTGTAGGGAGATCGAGGCATTCCTGGAGCTTCCGGAGTTCAGGTAAGGACAGCAACAAAAATATTTCATTACTATTATATTATTAAATTAATCATTTAATTTTTTTTTTTCTAAAAGGGACCCGTTGGACCAGCAGGACCCAAGGGAGAATTTGGTTTCCCTGGACGACCAGTGAGTGCCAATAGCTCAATGAGTTTATAGAAGGATTTATGAAGAGATCAGATGTGACTCAACATCTTTGTTCAACAGATAAAAACACAAACATGTTTAAAAGCTAGACAGTGCTGAAAAATTCAATTCAAGTTTATTTATAAAGCGCCAAATCACGACAAGAGTCGTCTCAATGCACTTCACATAATAAACATCCCAATTCAGGTCAGTTCATTAAGCCAATCAGAGATAATGTTTCCTATATAAGGAACCCAGCAGGTTGCTGACACTAATCAGTGACTTTACAGCAATCCTCATACTAAGCAAGCATGCAGCGACAGTGGAGAGGAAAACTCCAGAGGATCCTGGATCAGTATAAGCAGCCATCCTCTACGACTCACTGAGGATGGAGAAGACAGAGCACACACACACACACACGCACAGACAGACAGACAGAGTAATGTGTCTATGCTTACATTGTGATTTCTTAGTAAATATTCTATTTGGTGAGAGATAAACTTTATTGTATTTATCCTAGTGGATCTATAATTAAACGGATAAACTAGTAGTAGCACATTCAATGTCAAGGAAACCAAAAAGTTATTATCAGGAGAGGGAGAATGTTTTAGTGGTTAGCAGCAGTGTGCTAGTCGATGGCCCCCTCCATGAGGCCATCACAGCTCAGCAGAACATCGTTGTAGCTTCTTCTGGGGAGAAAAACACTTAGAGAGAAAATAAAGTTAACAGCTGAAATAGCAGAAAGTAATACAGTTAAAGAGCAGATTGTAGAAGAAGAAAGCAGTAGAGTGTGGAAAGTGGTCAGTGTGTCCTCCAGCAGTCTAAGCCTATAGCAGCATAACTACAGAGATAACTCTGGATAACCTATCCTATTTAGATGTAGGCATGTTGGAGGCTGGGCAAGGGAGAGCCGTCTTTACCGACTGTATACTCCACCTCCCTCTACCCCCCACTTGTCCTGATTTAGGCTAACATCAGATTTTAAACATAGGCCCTATCAAATAAAAATGTTTTAAGCCTAGTCTTAAAAGTAGACAAGGTGTCTGCCTCACGGACTAAAGCTAAAAGTAGACACCCCCCCCCGCCCCCCGGTTCCAGTAAAGTTTAAAGCCCCGCCCCATTCTGTTAAAAAGGGAGAATCTGTAAAGTCACTGAAACTTTTCTCAAATGAACGTGATGAAGTTCTAACATCTGTCCTCTAGGGTCGTCCAGGCCTGCTGGGACGTAAAGGAGAGAAGGGGGACCCCCAAGGCCTGCCGGTGAGTCACACACTCCATCAGAGCTAAAATGACAGCAAAACGTGGCATTTAGGCTTGTTTTTTATCTCCTGAAGGATAATCTTCCCATTTTCTTTTCAACTTTCAGTTATAACTTCTTCTTCTCCCTCCCTCAGGGACCTCCTGGCCCTCCTGGGCCCCCAGGCCATCCAGGAATATTCAACTGTCCCAAAGGAGTAAATATCCCGGAATTATAGCTTCTTCCCAAGTTTTCAGTTGTTTTGTGTTTATTATTGTGTTTCTTCTCCTGGTTTCTGAAGACCGTGTTCCCCGTTCCTCCCAGACCCCACTGCAAAATGCCCGTAGGTCAATGAGCGTGGAACCACTGAAGCTCAGTTAAACAGTTGCATCTTTGATTTTAACCGGATGCATCCTCTTCCTTTGAAAACTCACAAACTAGAACCTGTGGTCTCCCACAGAGAAACTCCATTCCCTCCTCTTCCTTTGCAACATTTCCACAGATACTCTGCATGTTTTTCTGTGTAACCATCGTAACTCCCACGTTTTACTGCTCAGTCCATCTATGGCGCGGTTCCTAAATACTCCTGCATGCTGCATGTCGCCACTGGGAAGGTGAAGGCTCTATGCAGAGAACTAACGGAGGTAGACTGAAGGTTAAACTCATGGAAAAGCATTTGCATGTTGACGTCCGACTGGAAATATCTTAGAATGTGGATTGATTAAAGTCAAAATCTGAAATTCTGTTTCTGCGGCATCGTTTCAGCTTGATTCTAAAGGAGCTGTTGCAACAGGTTGGTTGGGTCAGTCGGAAAGTTTATTCCCAAACGGGAACGTTTAGGGATGTTGCTGATTTACTGTTTTTGTCCCTCAGGTTATTGCCTTCAAGGACCAAAAGGAGAAAAGGGGGACCGAGGTCTTCCAGGGTCACAAGCTTCCATCAGTGAGTCTATCAATAATATGAATAGATGCTTGGACATTTTTTGAAAAACACAAACAAAAAGGTAAACAGAACTATGTTTAGTTTAGTTGTTAGAACATCCTTAGACAGAGACACTCCTTATTGTAAAATGAATAGCTGAGCGTCTTGATCTCTTATTTTTCTAGACTCTTATTTTTCCAGAGGAGGCTGGGTAAGTTCCACCTGCCTTTGTCTTTTTATTTTTCTTCTCCTCTTTGGTCTTCAGGTGCCTGAATGTAATTGTGTTTGTTTGTTCTTCCCCAGGAGTCGAGGGGTGACAAGGGTAGCAGAGGGGAGAAGGGAGAAAAGGGGGAGGCTGGGTTTCCAGGACAACCAGGCGTTCCAGGGAGATCAGGACTGGTGGTGAGTTGATGTGGAATAAACTGTTGTGTGTTTTTGATTTCAAATGAAAAGAACAACCAGTGATTTTTGTTGTGCGGACTCGTTTTAGGGACCTAAAGGGGAATCTGTACTTGGTCCTCCAGGAAAGCCCGGAACACCAGGTCCACCTGGTGTTCCTGGCTATGGTAGACAAGGTCCTACTGGCCCACCGGGACCACCAGGTCCTCCAGGGCCTCCTTTATTTCCATCTAGATATGGTTCAGGTATGAATGTTTTATTATACAGCAATGGGTGTCAAACAAGACTTAATGGGTTTCATGAATTGTGTGGGTTTTTTGTTGTTGCAGCTCTGACCGTCGCTGGTCCACCTGGACCTCCAGGACCACCTGGACCTCCTGGTATTTTAAGAAACTCAGCCGCTGTAAGTTAATTGCTCTGCCGTTAAGTTGGATGAGACAGGATAGAATAGGATTTCAAGCATCTCCTAAAAACCATGCACTAACATGGATAAGACAGATACTGCATGGTTTTTAGGGAGTGCTTGAAATCCTTGAAAATACTTGGATTTAAAATTGGTTTTTCAAGTGTTACTGAAACTGTAGCTTAAAGCCATTTACTTTTATCGGGCCTTTCCAACGGACGTGTCACGTGATGTCTGCAAAGTAGCTGCCAGCGTGAATGAGTACACTTCGACCACCCGCTGTATGTGCCCCCAAAGCATAAAGATGCATTGCTTTGCTAACTATACGTTTCAGATGTGTCAAGATAAGCAGTTCAGATCGAGCCAAACAGGAAGTCAAAAACAAAAGCTGTGTCAAGCGTGGCAAATTTCAAAATTGAAACACGCGGGTTTCGCGTTGCTTAGGTATAAAAAATGAAGTACGTAAATACCATCTTTATGCAGATGACATCCAACTGTACATCTCCTTTAAGCCCCATGAGATGTCTAAGCTGCAGCTGTTACACACCTGCTTAGACTCTATCAAAACCTGGATGGCTGGGAGCTTTCTGCAGCTGAATGAAGATAAGACTGAGATCCTCATCTGTGCCCCAGACAAGCTGGTTCCAAAAGTCAGAGACTCTCTTGGTCAGCTTGCTTCCCACACCAAACCTTCCATCAGGAATCTTGGCGTGACCTTTGACCCAGCTCTCACCCTGGATTCTCATGTCAGTTCTCTTGTTGGCTCTTCCTTCTTCCATCTCAGGAACGTTGCTAAGCTGAGTCCCATTCTGTCCCGCTCTGAACTTGAGACAGTTCTCCACACCTTCATCTCCTCACGCTTAGACTACTGTAACTCTCTTTTCACGTGTCTGAGCAGAACCTCCCTGAACCGTCTACAGGTGGTTCAGAACGCCTGTGCTCGGCTTCTGACCAAGTCCTCCAAACACGCCCACATCACCCCGCTTCTCCTCCAGCTTCACTGGCTGCCAGTCAACTTCAGGGTTCATTTCAACATCCTGGTTCTGGGGTCTCATTTATCAAACATTGCGTAGAATCCTTACTAAAACCGTTCTTAAGTTCAACAAAAAAAAACTACTTGCGTCAAGTAGGTTTGTGATCTATCAAACATGGAGTACGCACAGCTGCACGCAATCTCTGCTTCATAAATCTGAGACTAACGAGAATGTTTCTCAGCTGCATTTTAGTCACATCCCACCCTCACCACGCCCACTTACTGCCATAAATAGTCAATGCAAAGTGCCTTGTGGATCTCATGCATGTACATAAGCCGGCTGCTGCAGCGCTCCGCCAATGACATGGCGACCGTAGATCAAGGCAGATCAAGGAAGAGCTATTTCACAGAAGCAGAAGTTGAGGTACCTGTGGGTGAGGTGGAGAAATGAAAGGAAGTGCTTTTGCAAAACAAATAAGAGAAAATCCACGGAGTGGCACAGCGTTGCTGAAGCTGTCAATGTTGTGAGTTCTTCAGAGAGATCTGTGGCGGATATAAAAAAAATGGTCTAATTGAGGTTCGATCCCCAGACTCCCAGGTGAAAGTCACGAGCGCTAACCACTCACCCAAACGGAGATCTCCCCTGTTCAAGTAGCCAGGGCGCATGATTAACCGGGTCACAGTGACAGGACACACACTGTCACAGACGCATGATGTTCTGTCTCAATCTGTCCCCCTGCTGATATTCAGCATTCCATATTCTGCGCTTCAGGCTGTGTGTGTGGGCACGCGTGTGTGTGTGTGTGTGTGTGCGTGTGGGGGGTCTTGTTCTGTGTGAAAACGAAGCAGTACAAGTGATAATGCTGCAGGATTTCAGAATTGTATCCTTCTCAGCAGCAGCACTGCAGGTGCTCTCCATGTCCAACATGTGCGTAAGCCAGGTCCTTACTCAACTTGAAGTTGCGCACATTTTTCCGCTAAGTTTTCTTTGATAAATCCCAAAGTTTGCGTGGAAAGTTGCTTACGCAGTTTTCCGACCCCGCTTTGTGCATAAGCAAGCTTGATAAATGAGGCCCCCTGGTCTATAGGGCCTTACATGGACAAGCACCATCATACATTGGTGATCTTCTTAGTCCCTACACCCCCAGCAGGTCCCTGAGGTCCAGTGACCAAAGCCTACTGGTTGTGCAGCACCAGGCTAAAGACCAAAGGTGACAGATCATCTGCTGCTGTGGCCCCCAGACTCTGGACCTCTCTCCCCCTGAACCTGTGGACTCAGTGGTCTCCTTTAAAAAGCAGCTGAAGACTCACTTGTTCAGACTGGTTTTTGTATGACCTTCATCACCCTCTCCTTGTTCTGCTCTCCCCACCTATTCCACCTTCCTCAGGATCCACTGATTTCCCTCTTTCCTATTCACTCTCTCTTCCTTTACATTTTTTAATCACAATTGTCTATTTTTTGCTCATTTGAAATATATTTTTAACCATTTTCTAAATTCTTTTTAAATATCTTTTTACATTTCTTGTTTTTGTGAAGCGCCTCGTGATTTTTATCTTGAGAGGCGCTATAGAAAAGATCTTCTTCTTCTTCTTCTTCTTCTTCTTCTTCGTCTTCTTCTTCGTCTTCTTCTTCTTCTTCTTCTTCTTCTTCTTCGTCTTCTTCGTCTTCTTCGTCTTCTTCGTCTTCGTCTTCTTCTTCTTCTTCTTCTTCTTCTTCTTCTTCGTCTTCGTCTTCTTCTTCTTCTTCTTCTTCGTCTTCTTCGTCTTCTTCGTCTTCTTCGTCTTCTTCTTCTTCGTCTTCGTCTTCTTCTTCTTCTTCTTCTTCTTCTTCTTCTTCTTCGTCTTCTTCTTCTTCGTCTTCTTCGTCTTCTTCGTCTTCTTCTTCTTCGTCTTCTTCTTCTTCTTCTTCTTCTTCTTCTTCTTCTTCTTCTTCAGTGAAACCTCTGTAGTCGAGATAAATAGAACATAAAATAAACCAGACCTTAGTGGATACATGCTGCCATCTTTCTCCTCGCTTGTTATCGCACGAACTGCCGAAATCACGCGTGGTCTTGCAATTCTTCGGTAATTTTGTGACCTCGTGGAACCCTTTTGCTGTCGTTTCACATCTGAGACACTCCTGGTTGGAAGCGAGCTTGTGGGTAAAATGCGTCAATTGTGTTAGGCGCTGCTTCCGCATCCAGTGGAAAGGACAGGTACCGGGACAAAGGACGAGTTGGAGCTATGTGCGCACACACAAATAATCCCAAGTCTAAGGTGCTTTGAAACGCACCTTTAAAGTGTCTGTAAATGTTGAGAATGAAACCCAAGGCCTTCCAAGGAAGAACCTTGACTTGTTGTTCTTCTTCTTCTTCTTCTTTTGGTGTTTTATTGGCGGTTGGCAAACAACGAATGGTGCATTACCGCCACCAACTAGTGTGGAGTGTGGTCTTGAACAGCGCTCTCTAACCAAAACCAAACAGGGAAAAAAAAAACCCTCAAAGTCTCCCGAACATCCTTATCTCTTTCAAAAACCAAAATAAAATCTGAAAACAGTCACTTCTTGAATTTTGTCTCAATAAATCAACAAGATCCAGTTTCACTTTCATCTGACTAAGATTGTGAACCATTGTCCTTCTTTCCGCCTGATATTTCTGACATTGTAATATAACATGATCTATAGTTTCGTCCTCTCCACAATAATCACATTTCCCTGTAGTATGTTTCCCTATCGTGAATAATGTTTTATTAAACCCAGTATGTCCAAACCTTAGTCTAGCAATGATCACCTCCTCTCTCCTACTCCTTCCAGTGTTTCTCATTTCTCCCACTCTTCTTTGAATTTTATACAACCATCTTCCCCTCCTCTCCTCCTCCCATAGTTTTTGTCATTTCTTCTTCATTTCTTGCCTTATTATGCTCTTGATCTCTTTTTGACAAAAGTGAATATCTAACTGAACCGATGCATTTATTGTTGCTTCCTTGGCCAACTTATCGACTCCTTCATTACCTCTGATTCAACCTTGACTTGTGTGAATGTTTTCAGCTGAGAACCTTTCCCACTCGGGAGAGTATGATGCAGCAAACCCTGCGGGATGAAGAGGGAAGTCTGGCGTTCGTTAAAGCAACAGGAAGTCTCTTCCTGAAGGTTTCCCAGGGATGGAAGGAGATACAGGTGTGTTTTACTCAAGTGTGATGATTGTTAAGAATTAAGTGTTGAAAAATAGGATGTGATCTAAAAACGTGCCTTTACCAGCCTTCGCTGAAGAGTTCAAACAGCGTGATGTTTATGAAACATTAACTGGGAATCAGGAGGGAACGTTTCTGAAGGTGATGTGGTTTTTGAAAGAAGGATTAATGATGTGCTGCAGCTCCCATTCATTTAAATCGAGGACCTTATGCTGTTGTGTGCAGTCAAGTGTTTAGCCCTTTTCACTTAAAAAAAAGCATTAAATCACTAGAAGCTGCCACTCATCTGAGTTTTATTACTGACGCTGTACTTATCAGCACTGAAGAACAACTTCTTCCAGTATAAATATTTTGTTTTTGTCCTCAAAGCTTGGAAATCTGATCCACCTCTCCAGTAACATCATACCCCAAGATGAGGTACCCATTTAAAAAACAAACTGTCCCGTACGTTAGTGGAATTTTCAATTGAAACATCTTTTTAAACTTCGTTCAGCCTCAGTTTGCGTATCAAGCAAGAGGAGAGACTATGCAACGAGTCCGTTCAGCGAGTGAAAGGCTGACCCTGGTGGCCCTGAACCAGCCTCACTCTGGGAACATGATGGGACTCGACACGGTGGATCGGATGTGCTACGAGCAGGCTAAAGCCATGGGTCTGCCTCCAAACTACCGAGCCTTCATTTCCTCCAACAAACAAGACCTGGTCCATGTGGTCTATCCTGGCTTCAGGGAAACGCTGCCAGTAACCAACCTCAGGGTGAGTCGGCTCTCTTTCTCTAAGACAGATCTGATAAACGTGTTTTTCATGTATGACCCACGGTGTCTCGTCACCCTCAGGGAGATGTGATGTTTAGGAACTGGCGCTCAATATTCAGCGGTGACGGCGGGCCAATCAGTACCAGGATACCCATCTATTCCTTCGATGGCCGGGATGTTTTAGCCGACCCGTTCTGGTTTGTAAACTCTGTTTTTATTTAGTGTGTTTCTGTTCTGCGCGATATTGGAAAAATATACAGGAATTTTAAACTGAAGACCTGAAAAGCACTTTATGTGGGGTTGCACTACTGACATCTGGTTGATAATGAAGCAGATGGTGGTTCACATACCTCTGGTGGTAAATTACATCCTTCCAGGTCAGTTCAAGGATAGAATCATAAGTGTAGGCACAGTTAACACGCTCAGAAATACTAAATAATGTTAAACTCACCAGTGACAGCCTTATATTATTGACAGAATAAAGCCTTTTCAAGTGATTCACATCTTACCTGATCCAACAGGTGAAGGGTTACCCCCTACCCACTATGGTAGGTTATGCCTCCCTCTATTCTCAAGTCTCCAGCCCAAACCAACCGCTGCACGATATGTGGTTGATTGATCAAATAGCCAAATAACTAGAGGTGCTGAAAAAAATCGATTCAAGTCTGAATCTGGATTCTTATTTACAAAGATTCAGAATCGATTCACAAAGGTTCAGAGTCGATTCCAAGAACTCAAATATTTGGCACGTTACAGGTTTGAGATGCACTTTTTTGATCTTTGTTAGGAGAGTCAGTACTCTGATTACTTTTGTGGTCCCATAAACTGAGATGATTTATGTTTGAATCTGCTGATAAGAGGGCACTTGAATGTCATTTTTTCCATACTCAGAAATTTGAGATATTCTCGTATTTGTTTTCTAAGTTGATAAATGAGTACTCAGGATTACTCATGTAACTTGTTTCTACACATACTTGAAAAGTATTTGACCATATTACTTTCAGAGCTACTGTTAGGCAACTACAGATTTGTTATATTTTACAAGGTAAACATAAATAAATGTTGCCTTTTGGTCAAAAGATTGTTTCTGTTTACAGTTTTAGAATCACTTTATTTTACATTATAAATTTGCATTTTTGGAGCATGACCAGTTTAAAGTCAAATAAAAATGTCCCACAGCTTTAACTAACTTGTACAAACAATCCTGGAGCTGACACTCTTTGTTAATACTGATTGTGAATCGATTTAAATTGAGAATCGAGAATCGATTCTGAATCGAATCGGCACCCCAAGAACCGGAATCGAATTAAATCATGAGCTGCTCTAAGATTCACATCCCTACAAATACATCCCAAAAATAATGAACTCTCACATAACCAACCTTCTTGTGGTCTGCTTCTGAAATTTGTGAGAACCATTTTGAGTTGTGGGTCGCAGGTACCCTTCACATTAGATTAGAATACCTTACACGACTTGAGATGTGACGATCATGCACACATAGATTCACTGTAAAACCGAAGGTTGAATATAATCAAATATATTGAGTAAGAAACTCATAATTTTAACATAGTTTTTAGAACTCAAATGTGTTGAATTGGTTCAACTTTTTCATTGTTAAGAGCAACGTGTTCCTCTGGTGTCCGTGAGGGCGAACAGTGGTCAGCGTTCCTCCGATGTCTGTCACAGCGGTGGCTGGTGGGTGGGTGGTGAGCGGGTGCGCTTTACCGACTTCTGGGGAGGTTTATTTGCAATTTCATTAACTCCAATTTTTTTTTGTGTAATCAGTTTCATCAAAAATTTTGAGTTATCAACTTATCGGGTTTTACAGTGCTGGGATGTCAATGCTCAAACCTAAATGTGGACTTAAGCTGCACAATGTTAACACTTTCTATGCTTCTTTCACCAGGCCTTCAAAAAGCATCTGGCACGGCTCGACCAGCAGAGGTGTAAGAGTGGTCGACAAACACTGCGAGACGTGGCAAGCGGATGATTTCCCCGTCATGGGTCAGTCATCCAGCCTGACCTCAGGTCTGCTCCTGGGCCAGCAGACACGAAGCTGCTCCAACCAGTACATCGTCCTCTGCATCGAGACCCACAGAAACTCCTAAATCTGCCACAGAATCCAGCTTAAGCCCTGCAAATCCTGAAGGACTCCAGGGATAAATTTAAGGACTTGAGCTTTAGAAAATCTTTGGTGCTATGTCTTTTTTTTTTTTTAAACAATGTCACCTCTGGATTTTCTTTTAAAAGAGGACTTTAGGACAAGAAGAAGTGACTTTAGCTGCAAAATGACAAAACTCTGTCATCAAGACAATACAAAATAACAGATTGCTATTTTTTCCTGCAGCCACAAAAGTAAGCTGAGGGTAAGACTTTATTATTTTAAGATTGATGGTAGAAAGAGAGGATGGCTGCTGGATTCTGCACCTAAATATGGTGGTCCAAAGACTTTTTGCTGCAGGCTTTGGTTTGTTTGCAGGTTGTCTTGGAGGTTTTAAGCATATATAAATAAGAAAGGAATGGTCTACTTTAGTCCGAGCTTTCTGCAACTTGTCCAAAAATAATGAGACCAGACATCCTGAAAGGCCACCAAAATCCTTTTTGATGCACTGTATTTTTTAAAAATGATCTTTTCAACATTTTTTGAAAGTGTTGTTTCTGTCGTAACTTTTACATTGGTGAGATATTTCCTCTCATCAGCTTTATCTCGTCTGCTTATTTAATTTAAGCTCAGCAATTTATTTATAATGTCACACCACATAACCTAAATTCAAAAGAAAGAAATTAAGAATGTAATATATCATTTGTCTGTTTCCTTTCACAATTTTTCTCATGTTTGTTTTTTGGTTGTCCTTTTTTAAATTAAAGTCCTTTATGAATGTCAACATAAGTATAAATAAAGTTCCACCAGGGATTATGGACACTTAAAATCAAGCAATACAGAAATGAAAAGGTTTTGTAAAAGTTTTGTATAAATATTTGTGCTTTCTCGAATAAAATTATCTTTTTTCATTGTTTGGTCATTTTATTTTCAGTGCAATTCAGAATTTTCTCGTTAGTTTCTTTTTATATAGTCAACTTTTTACAGTTTTCCAACAACTAACTGGGTATGATTGGGATGGGACAACAATAAAAATATATAACATACTATTGTTTTAATTCAATGATTTATTATATTTTTAAATTAATCGGGTTTCTATTTGTTTTACTTTGAAAAGTCCATTTCGGAAACGGTAGTAGCCAAACATTTATTCTGAAGGCAATAAACCGGAAGTGTGTTGAAACGAACACCGTCCCGCGCACAGTCTATGGTCCCGCGTAGTTCGGTTTTAGTTCTACAAACATGTTTCTTTTTGTGCTTTTTATTTCAATCTTTTTTACTCCTTTTTGTTTGTCGGTCAACAGAAATGACGCACCTATAATCGGTGAGTTCACGCGGTGTTTACGAAGTTAAGCTAGCAAGCTAGGTACATTTCTGTGAAGCAAAAAGTGTCGAGTCATTGTTTTGTTTCTGCAACGCCACCGAAAACCAGGTGTTCTGGCCCAGGAGCTGCGTTCATCCAGAACGTCCCAGCGGGCTTACATCGCTGCTTCTTATGTGAAGTTCCTGGAGGCAGCTGGGGCCAGAGTTGTTCCCGTAATGTGAGTTTTTATGCTGCGAAAAAGAAGCGGACATTGTCGGTGTTATGGGGCAGAATAAACCACACGTTCATCTTGCTACAGGATCAACCAGGCACCAGAGGAATACAAGAAACTGTTCAACTCCATTAATGGGTAACAACAAAGCTTTCATCACACTAACGTGCTTAAAGGTCAGTTTGAGCGGTTCAATCAAGTTTGGCCATTTTATTAGGTCCACCAGCTAATCAGCCAGTCACATGGCAGCCACTAAACAGAAAAAGATGAGTGAAGTTATTAGGGTTCCAGATGGGATTTTCACCCACAACCATCTCTAGGGTCAGATATCCAGTTAATGGGAAATCCACGTAGATTTATCATCTTGTTGCCTTTATGCCAAACCAGTACCAGCAAGACCTAGGGCTGCCGCAAACTAATGCCAGTTTTGTTGACGATTAGTCGACCAATTGTGTCATTCATAAATGTTTAGCTTGTTGCTCTAATATGCCTAACGTTATTAGCTTCTAAACTCACCTAAAGGATGATTAGGAACACCATACTAATACGGTGTTTGACCCCCTTTCGCCTTCAGAACTGCCTTAGTTCTACGTGGCATTGATTCAACAATGAACTGAAAGCATCCTTTAGAAATATTGGCCCATATTGGTAGGATAGCATCTTGCAGTTGATGGAGATTTGTGGGATTCACATCCAGGGCACGAGGCTCCCGTTCCACCACATCCCAAAGATGTGTCTATTACCACATTCCCCAGCGGTAGATTAGTGAGAAAAACCCCATCTGTAACTTCTGGTCTGGCAGTCGTCCGTCTGCTTTTGTCTAGCATAAACAATGGAAGTGAATGGGAAGTAGTAGCCTTTTGGTTGCAAATGACTCAATAATGATAGCAATTATTCTCGTTGAGCTCAATAATCATGTCGACTGCAAATGTAAGTAAGAAATAACACAAAGGATGGACAGGAGCCAATTTAGACTTGGGACTATATTATGACAAAGTACTGCTGTAAGCACAAACGCACTCGCATAGCTACTATCCAGTTCAGCAGTAAGCTTCAGTAACTATGGAAGAGTACATGACAAACGCAGATGATGACTTTTTTGATTTTCAAATTCCAAAACCCTACCTGTTGTATCCATGCGCCATGCAGCGGCGGGTTACAGCGGTGCTTTGTCGTCATATAGTCTCAGCTCTGAATCGGCTCATGTAAATACTGTGTTACTTCTCACTTTTCATTTGCAGGCGACATGATTATTGAGCTCAACAAGAATAATTGGTATCATTAAGCTCTTCCGGTTCTTGGCGGGTGCAGACGCTTTTTTACTCCTCTCCTCCTTATCTTATCCTCAAGGCCCTTTGTCTGTCTGTGTGTGCTGGGTGCACGGCTGCTTCAGCATTTTTTCTGGAAACTGAAATTCACTAAAATGGATCTCGTCAGTTGGTCTCTCAACGCGACTGATGAAATTTTTTCAATGATGAGAACGGGAGAAGGGGCTCCCGGATGCCCCTCTGGGACAGACCCAGTTGGACACATCATGGATTCCTGGAAACAGTGGAACTTGATTTGTTTATCTCAGCTGTCTGTGGAGGACTCTGAAGACGTGTGGATATCCGTGGTGTTGGTGTCAGGTTTCCTGCTCATTGGTCTTGGAAGCTACCTGGCTTACCGGAAAATTAACGAGCTGTCGAGGAATATTGGCCTGATCCCGGAGCTCAGAGATGGTTTGCACCGCGCTGTGAATTCACAGACTCTAATTGTCGAGATGAATCGTAAGCTTGGAGCTTTGGCCGAGATTCATTCATTGGCACAAACGATCACAACATGCCCTATAGGTAATAAATTGTAAGTCGCTTTGGATAAAAGCGTCTGCTAAATGAATAAACATAAAAGATGGATGCCATCCAGGAGAGAGTGGATGAATCAGCACGGACTGGGGTAGATTAATGTCCATTATTGGGATTTTGAGAGGTTGAGGACCAACAAACTGTAAGACAGAGAGGAAATTATTTCTGTCTGGCCCCAAGACAATTTCTAATCGGAATCTGGCGCCATTGAGCCTGCAAGGCTCCAACGAAAACTCCCCCCTCAGAAGATATGTGGAATGTGCCGTCACTATGGCAACTCAACTCTGTCTCCTTTCCCAGCGGGACTGCGGGAAGGCCGCTGAAATGTTCCTGGGTCACTGCAACCCTCCAACCCTCAATGCTCCTCCCCCTATCCACACTGAGGTGACATGCGCTGCTTATCGTGGCTGCAGGAACTGAAGTGGGGATAGTCCCAACCCACCACTCCACCTAGTGGACACTTATGTTGTCTGAAGTCTGTTGCATATCTGTCTGAGGTGTTTTTTTGCAGAGCAAAGCTGCCCTCCTGGTGGAGGGTAACTCTGAAGTGCCTTTTTCTTCCCTCCACCTGAACCAATCCTCATGTAACCCTCTTATCTCTATTAAGGTAGCGCGACTCAGGGTTGCGAATGACCACAGTCACCAATTCTTGTCATGTGTCTTGCCCATGTATGTCTGATCTCTGAATTGTGTGTACTGAAACTCTAATTTCCCTCTCGGATTAATAAAATATCTTTGATTTGATTTGATTGATTGATTATTGAGTCATTTGCAACCAAAATGATGTTGGCAGCTAACAAGAGGTAAACTTACCGAGGCAACTCTTTAGTCTCCGCTGTGACGTGCATCCTTGTAAAGTGCTCGTGCATCGTCGATGTGCTTCTGTTAATTGAGCTTCTCTTCACTACTTTCCCCTCGTTAGTCCGTTGTCTACTCGCCATGTTTTCTTTCTCCGGTGACGAAAGCTGATCTGGGTGGCCACTAATGAGCATGCGCCTCAGAGCTGAACACGGCAACTGACCCGGATGGCGACCTCTACATGGGCGTTGAGCAGAGAGGCAGGAAGCATTCACCGAACATGCCACCGCAGTCCAGATAATAAAAAAAAATGTTTATAAAATAAACAATGTGTTGACTATTAAATTAACAGTCGACTATTTTGTGCGTCAATGTTGTCGTGACTAGTCGACCAATCGTGGCAACCCTACTGCAAACCCCGTTTTTATTGTTTTAACACATCTTTGCTGCTTGTCAAATGATTTTTGTATTTTTACAGAATCCTCCTGCCAGGTGGGGGTGTAAACATCACCTCATCCGGCTACGAGCGGGCTGCAAAATTTTTTTATGAGCTTGCTATTGAGGTGAGAATGTATACTACCCACAGCTGAACTTTAATCTGCTGATTCTGGTTGGCGATTATTAATCTGTGTTACCCTTCAGGCCAACAAGAGGGAAGATTATTTTCCTGTGTGGGGTACCTGTCTCGGGTTTGAGCAGCTGATCTATTTGACGAGCGGGAAGAACTTACTGACAAACACCGAGACCAGCGGCCTTGCTCTGCCCCTGAACTTCACCAAAGGTACGGCTCGTTTAAGAGGTCAGATATGTGAAGCTGACTGTAACTTTTATGCAATCTAAAAAAACGTATGGAAAATATATAAATTTCTCTCAAAATGTCAAAGAACAGACATCGTGTTTTTGTTTACTATCAGCAGTGTTGTGCCCAAACGAGTTCATTGAACGATAGTTCGTGAATTCGTTCGTTTTTTTTGTGAACGTGAACTGAACTTGTTCTTATTTTGCCTGACGAACGTAAAAGTGAGTGCGTTCATCCTGGCGTGCGTGAACGGGTTTTTGAACACGTTCTTTCACCGTACTAGCTCCAGATCTCCACGGAGCTTTTCTGGAGCTAAAGCCTAGCTAAAACATCCTGTTAACCATATAGTTTATAAAAAGTAGAACCTGCAAAAGCGGCCAAACATAGGCAGCAGCGGTTGGTGCGGCGTCTACTCTTCTACGTCTATGCTGTGTGCAGGAGTCAAAGTTCATTCAGAAAAATTGAAAAGAGACTTAACTGAAAGATTATATATTTTTTTCTTTGCACTTTTAATATGTTTAGTTTGCTACCTCAGCCTGCTTCCTAAAACCCTTTTCATATTGACATTCTGGAATATGTGTGGACAATGCAATCCGGTTTTTAACCAGAACTGTGTTTTCAGACACACCACTTTTGTACCGGAACTTGTCCTTTCGGCTGCCTTCACACATCAGGAAAACGTTCCAGATGTCTGGATTGAAATAATGATTGAATCATGTTACAAAATGAGAATTGCATGCTACAAAACTAATTTACCTGCTACAACATGAAAGTTACGCATTACAAAACATGAATTTCATGCTACAAAACAAAAGTCACAGTTACAAAACTTGGTACAATTTAAAGAGTAACTCAACCCCAAAATGTCTGTGAAGGTTTTCAGTCATCCAGGTCATTGTAGTCTAATGAGCTTTGAAAGAAAAGCGTCTGGACTTCTTTGAGTTGCTTGAAGATGTTTCACCTCTCATCCGAGAGGCTTCTTCAGTTCTAAGGTCAAATGGTGGAGAGTCCCAGATTTAAACCCAGTGGGAGTTTCTCCCCGAAGAGGGAACAAAAGACCCCCTGATGATCTTCTACATAAACACATGAGCCAAGGTGTGAGACCTCTACATCGGAGAAACCAAACAGCCACTTCACAAGCGCATGGCACAACTTTGAAGAGCCACCTCCACGGGACAGGACTCAGCAGTTCATTTGCATCTAAAGGACAAAGGTCACTCTTTCGAGGATGCCAATGTTCACATTTTGGACAGAGAGGACAGATGGTTTGAAAGAGGAGTAAAGGAAGCCATTTATGTCCACTGTGAGCAACCATCTTTGAACAGAGGCGGTGGTTTACGACACCAACTGTCTGCCATCTATAATCCAGTTTTGAGATCCCTTCCCAGATGCCTCAACGCCCACGCATATCCTGAGCCATCTGACCTCAGGAATTCACATGATAGGGTGGGGCCAGGTTTCACAATGAGCTCACCAGAAACTCTGGCTGAATAGGACCCACACCTTGGCTCATGTGTTTATGTAGAAGATCATCAGGGGGTCTTTTGTTCCCTCTTCGGGGAGAAACTCCTACTGGGTTTAAATCTGGGACTCTCCACCATTTGACCTTAGAACTGAAGAAGCCTCTCGGATGAGAGGTGAAACGTCTTCAAGCAACTCAAAGAAGTCCAGACGTTTTTCTTTCAAAGCTCATTAGTCAACCCCAAAATAAAAAGTTTTCGCTTATAAACTGTATAATTGTGTCTTTACAATTTCAGTCTTTCTGTTTCTGTGCAATTTTTTGACAAGTTTGTGTAAACTTGATTAAATCTAGAATCTTGGTCTAAAAACGTCTTAGTGCTGCCCCCTGTGGCAGAACAGCAGCTACTGCATTTTAAACTTGTGATTGACTGGGGCTGGAACAATTTCACGTCATCGGTACAGTCTCCTCCCAGTCCCCCTCCCTCCCAGGATGGAAATTCCCCACACTTGGCTGCGCCACTCTGTGCCTCTTGGCAACGCCCACTTTCATTTCATTTTTCAAATCTTAACTAGGGGTGGAGTTGCATTTTCTGATGGTGTGCAGTCCCTCTTTAAAAATAATATTGTCCCAATTAAGGCTGCGCAATGTCGAAAATTTATCGTTACCGAAATTTGTGACTCTTGTTGAGATAAATTTTCCCATGTCAGTAAATTTGATAATAAAAAAATGAAAATATGTGTGTAGGTTAGCAACATTCATGTCCTTTAAGAAGCTGTACCACCTTGAGTCACGTAAAAATGTGACTCAACTTAATTTACTTGACAGCCCCATCTAGTGGACAACATTTGTTCCTGCGCATACCTGTAGTTATCGTCCATTTATCGTTATCGAGGTGAAATCCTCAATATATCGTGATATTGGTTTTAAGCCACATCGCCCAGCCCTAGTCCCAATCCTAGTTCCATTTTAACATTTTTTCTCTAAATTACTTATATGAGATAATATAATTAGATGTAATATTTTATTATATAAAAATGCAACAAAAATGGGAAATAAAATCAATCTCTTTCACCTGCAGGCATGTTTAGATTTACAAACAGCAGGTTTTTCATTGAAGAAACTTGAAACGAGACCGTTTTGAGCAAAGTTGTGTATTTGTTAGATTTATGGTGTTTTATTTCTTCTCCAGAGGCCAAAACCAGCAGGATCTTTCAAGCGTTTCCTGCTGAACTCATGGCAGATTTATCATCTGAGCCTCTGACTGTAAATTCTCACAATTGGAGTTTGGCTGTGTTGGTATGTCTTTATTACTGACATGATCACAAAAAGCTCTTGGAACCATGATGACTCAGCAGTTTTCCCCCTCAGACTTACAACAAAAATGACGAATTAAGGAAATTCTACAAAGTTGTTTCTACAAACACAGACGGAAACGTGGAGTTTGTGTCAACAATGGAAGGTAATTCTAACACAACACGGTCTAACAACTTCAAGTAAAAAATTACAACTAATTAAAACAGATTTTTTTTTCCCTCTTGCCTCTATGCAGCATACGATTACCCGATTTACGGGACTCAGTGGCATCCAGAGAAAAATGCGTTTGAGTGGTCGAGACCTTATAATCCTCATTCTCCTTCAGCAATCAGGACAACCTTTTACATGGCTGAATTCTTAGTCAGTGAGGGTAGGAGACTAAAAGCAACATATCTGCAGCTTTCTACTGATATATATATATAAACCAGTTCATCTCTTCCTGCAGCGAGGAAGAACTTCCACACCTTTGAGTCAAAGGAGGAGGAGAGCAAGGCTCTGATATACAACTACAACCCCATTTACACTGGGACCACTGGTTACTTTGAGCAAATGTATATTTTCTGACGACATCTTTGAGAAGCAGTTTGGTTTGATGAAGTATTGAAATGTTTACCGAAAGTTGATATATATATATATATATATATATATATATATATATATATATATATATATATATGTATATTGTTGTGTTTAATGAACTAATGTTCATGTATACACTGGAAATATAAAAATTTATTCCATTATTTTTTGCTGTTCACAATCCAGCGCTTGTCTCCCGGTAGCCTCCGATGTGGCTTTTTGGATGCTTATGAGATTGCGCTGGTTCTTGTCTGACTAGATCTGCTCTTGCTCTGTTTTTTGGACACCGAACTGCTGAAAAACTCATTTAGTTATGCGAGTTTTCCTGTTCTTTCCAGCTGGAACTGGAGAAAGGAAGTGGGATTAGCTAATCCACCAACATGGTTGGAAGTACGATTTTTAGTTGGAATCACACACATCAGTTTTATGAGTACTAATTTAAAATAAGACTCCCCCTTCAGGGTGTTCGCAGGTCCTTAAAAAGTCTTAAATTTGCTTTTCCAAATTTAAGGCCCTAAAAATCCTTAAAAATTACAAATAATCCTTAAATACAATTTCCAAAGGTCTTAAATTACCAAAGACCCAATAAACAAGATTCTTTTATTTCTATAAAATTTTCGTGAATTTCTAGTCAGTGTTCAGCTTTTTTAGTGTATGATGTTGACATAAGCGGAACCGTACACATTCAGTTGGTTGTGAAGGGGGTCTCTTTAAATGAGCACATTAGCTGATTAAGCTAGTGGGAGAATGGGGCCATGGGGAAGTGCAAGTTTAATGGTAACTGGATGGCTAATCCCACGTCCGTTAGCACCGGTTCCAGTTAATAACATGGTAATTATAGCTTAAATTTAATTTTAAAAATAGCTTAAATTTGGTCAAAGTGGCCTTAAAAAAGCTCTTAAAAAGTCTTAAATTTGGCTCCTTTAAACCTGCAGATACCCTGCCCTTTATAAATGGCTAATAAATAGTTAATAGACTAACATGTGACACTTTAAAAAAGTGTTTATTAAGCATTTAGGGAAGGAATGAGACAAAACTTGTCTATTTTCTTGCCAAATAGTGATCAAATCTGTTTTTCATCGAGAGTTGATTTCATCATCAAACTTTAATTACATTCAGGACGATACACCAAAGTGCTGAACAGTACACACGACTGAACAAATAAGAACAAGGGTAACCAAGTATTGAGTTAAAATATCAATTAGCTAGCAGCAAGATACCTCTGAACACGCTTATAAAACAGCTAACGAAACCCCCTAAACCATAAGTTAATGTGCAGGTTGATTTAAAAAAAAAGTGTCTTGAGCTTTCTCTTAAACATTACGAGCTAAGGGACTAACCACACTGACAAAGGCCTTAATAAACATATCTTACTACATATCTTACAAATTTACAATTTACTCTTCCATTTAGGCTAGCTGTACATTAGGGCTGTCGCGGTTGAGGAATTCCCCCTGCGGTGAGTCAGGGCAGCTCAATATTGCGGTATGCGATATTATTGCACCCCGTTTTTATTTATGTACTTAGCAAATTTGTTTGTTAATTACTAAACTCATGGCAATATTTCCTTTGAAACATTGTGCTTACACATTTAAAAAATGTTAGAAAAAATACATGGCCATTTTTGACACTTTATTAAATGCAGATCGAAGGGCAGTAACGGCATTCTCTGACTGAACTTAAAAACAACATTCAGGAGGTTTAACTTTGAAATGCAAATTTGGCTTCAACATCTAACAAAATGAGATGTCCCAGGCACTGTCAGTTCACTTTCACACACAAGAATAACGCCGGGGACACACCGGCCGCGGAAGCGCCGAGAAGCGAATCGCTCACGAAATTCGTTCGCTGCTCGCCGCTCCTCAGTTCAGATCAGACGCTTAGAATAGCTTAACAAGGGCGCCGAATGAAGGCGGTCCCATTTTCGCGGCGCTTCCGCGGCCGGTGTGTCCCTGGCGTAACTGTGATTTATAACTCGGTCATGTCCTTGTTACGCGCAAGGAACACCAGCATGTTAACCTTATGCGGTTTGAGAGAGGATCTGAGAGGGGTGACAACATTTCCAGCGACACTAAAAACCCTCTCGGATGGTGCGCTTGTTGCGCAAATACACATGTACTTACATGCGACTTTGGAGAGCAATGGAAATCTCTCGTGGTTGTTGCGCCACCATGTCAGAGGGTTTTCATTAGGGTCAATGGGTTCCTCCTGCAGGTAGCGAGTGAGCTCCAGCTCGGCTCTAACTCTCTTCGGGACAGTTGCAGAAGACGTCCTTGTCCGTGACTTCAGCAGGTCTCTAAGCGTTTTTTTCTTTGCCGCTGGTGGCAGCACTGCCTGCTCCAAGGTCTGGCTGGGCTGCAGCTGACGCACTGACACCGCTCCCTCCATCTTCCATGTGTACTATCTCCTCGATCAGCGCGGACTTTTCCTCTCAGCATGCGCTGTCGCGAGATTTAATCAAGTGCGGTAATGGCGGTGGCACGTCATGCAGCGCGGTGGGTTTCTTAATATCGCGATATTTTCTTCTTGCGGTTACCGCGACAGCCCTACTGTACATATCGAAAACACAGTCATAGTGCAATATAATTAGTTAGAACATGTTTCCAAATACTCGGTGCTTATAAGTTTGTAACTTGGTGTGAAATGTTTGAGATGGCAGCTCAAAGTGTAACGATAAAGGTGAATAGATTTGGCACACTATTTGGCAAGGACCCTCTCAATGTATAAAAACACTTATTGATTTATAAAGTTTTGACATATTAACATATTTATGAATATGTATTGGCTGTTTATGAGGAGAGTCTTATGGTTTGTTTGTGTATAAGCAATCTGACCCTGGCCTTATGAACATATGTAGCCAAAGTGTTGAACGGACCATTTCAGAGTGCCTTCAGTGCAGGTTTTGTATTTTTTTTTACCTGCTAGTAACCTGAGGTTATAGATTAGTATTTATTACCACCCCAGATATGGGTAAATGTTGGACTTTCAGCTATTTAGCAGTAATAATGCAAGTCCAAAGTTATCATGCTGTAAAAGTTCTTATCCAGATCCAGGACTTTGGACCATCCAGTGGTTGTGCTCGTTCCGATGTTCCCCAAAGGTAACACCATTGTGTTCTGGTGATGGTTCGTGGTTTGCAGAGCACATATCAAAGGGACAGAACCTTTATGAGCTGTAGACGGTGTCAGAAGACAGTAATGACTGATAAAATATCTACTTCTTTTTTTTTTATTCTAACACGTACTTTCATGCCACAATTCTTTATTTTCTCTTTAAGCTTTGGATAACAAAGTTGAACATCTTGGAAAAAGTCCTTCCCCGTAGAAAGAAAGTTTGTTTCCGTTGGCGTTTATAAAGTCCACTTTCAACTCGGTTCAACGACGGCAACAGGAGAACGAAAATGAACAATCAAATGTAACTTCCAAAATGCGGTATGCACAGATAACACTCAGGTAACAATTGTTTTATCTTTTTAGAATAAAATGATATTAGAATAACATTTACACATCAAGCTGACAAGACTGTGATCTCAATCACATTAATACTGGAAATGTTTATGCAGTTCAAGAGGAAACATTCAAGATGTCAAAAATGACCATAATGAGAGATATGGCTGTAAAATAATACCTGTGATCATGCACCGAGTGCAACAAAAACCATTCAGATGATTTAAAAATAAAGTTGTGCCTCAAATTTTTTTAGTTAACTATTTTTAGCTAAAGATTTGCCAGCGCAGGCTGCGCAGTGGTTAGAGCTGTTGCCTTGCAGCGAGAAGGTCCTGGGTTCGCTTCCCGGCCTGGGATCTTTCTGCATGGAGTTTGCATGTTCTCCCTGTGCATGTGTGGGTTCTTTCCGGGTACTCCGGCTTCCTCCCACATTCCAAAAACATGACTGTTAGGTTGATTGGTCTGTCTAAATTGTCCTTAGGTGTGTGTGTGTGTGCGTGATTGCTTGTCCTGTGTGTCTCTGTGTTGCCCTGTGATGGACTGGCTCTCTGTCCAGGGTGTACCCTGCCTGATTGCCCATTGACCACTGGAGATAGGCACCAGCCCCCCCACGAACCTACGTGGACAAGCGGGTTCAGAAAATGGATGGATGGATTTGCCAGAGCTCAACACATTCTTACAAGCTAGCACAGTCTTTGTTTTCATACTTATGCCAGGTGAAAAAAAATCCCTTTTTGGTAATCTCCTATTTTGAACATTTCAGATAAAACTGTACACTTTTAATGTAACGTCACTGTACAATTTTTAAGGAAAAAAGGTGAAATTAAGATTTAATTTTCAACAACTGGCTAAAAAAATTGGGCATAAAATCTGGAGTGGTACAAAAAAGCTAATCATCTTATTGTTTGAAAGTTTTGTAAATTATCAACCAGCAATTTTAAGATGTCACAAAGTCAGTTTCATGAATTGGATTTTACAGGCCATCAAACAAAGTGGTGTGTGCCAGTAAAACAAACTAGAACATGCTAAGAGCAAAATTCAAAAGCCAAGCTGGGCCAAGGGTGCAAGCACGGTTCTGCAGAAGTTTGAGTGTTAGTGGTTGGTGAAAAATAGTCAAGTTTCCCCAAATCACCATTGTCATTTAAAATGTCTTTGGAAAATAAAAAGGGCAAGTCTACAATAATTAGATTGTTCATCTCGGTTTAAAAAAAATAAAGGTGGTAATCTAGCTGCTGTCTCGACTAATAAATGAGGAAACAAGCTTGATTGATTTTATAGCCAAATCAATCTGCAGCTATTACTCAAAACGTTTAATTGAATTGTCATTTTTGCTAGCATAGTTTAAGAATAAATGTTCTATCCATGCTTGAGAGCTGATGAATGTAATTTTGTTTTGAATAATAATAAAAAAAACTTTTGACTTGTTTGCTTTCTTTTAGTTAAATGTTCACTGGGAAAGTAAGGCACAGTGAATTAAAAACCAAAATGACTTGTTGAATTAAATCATAACAGAACACAATTTTCAAATGAATAACGAACTACTGGCTTCTTACTGAAACCTGAAATTTGTCAGCATCACTGGAATAATAAAGGGTATGAAGAAAGATTTATGCCATGCGTAGGAAAAAGAAAAAAAAAGCTCTACGGGTAAACACACAAAATTGTTGAGAAAATTTGACACGATAATCTCAGAATCAAATTGAAAAGTTCAAGAAAAGACTTGACATACTGAAAAGTCAAAAGCAGGCAATTTAAAAATACTTCCATACAGTTAATCCCTTTTGTTCCCAATGTAATTCTTATTCTTATAACGGAGTGCTCTTGCTGTTTTTACCAAACAAAATAGAAATAATGTGACTGGTGTGCGGTGATGTTTATGGCTACTTCTGCAACAGTCCATGGTGTAACTCAAAAAACTTCATTTAACCACAAATTCACATTAAACCATTTCTGGTTTTAAAGCTTCTAGATGGAGTATGGGGATTAGTACCTTCATCACACACTCACCATTTCCAGTCTTAAAGTTTACTGGCCTCTGGTGGAGGGTCTACGGGAGAGCAAGGGGCAACGTGGTGGTCAGTTTTATTTCTTTATCATTAACGTCACATTTGTTGTGAAATTTGCTCTCCACACCCATCCCTTGGGGGAGCTGTGAGCTGCAGACCGCCACAATCGGGAACCATTTAGTGGTTTAGTCCCCCCAATAGAACCCCTTAGCGCTGAGTGTCAAGCAGGGAGGGTTTGGGTATTGGTATGACCCAACCGTGGATTTGAACCCCGTTCTCCCAGTCTCAGGGCGGACATTCATACCACTAGGCCTAAGAATTAAACGGTCCAGTTTAAAAACACGTTTTTATTAGCTAATATTACTTGTTTAAGGGTTAACCTTTTGCAATAATGTCTCATCCAAACGTATATGTACATCAAAACACCTGATGTTTAGAAAATACTTTTGTTAGTTTGATATTTACCAGAAAACAATAATACTCTTATGTTGTCTGAGGTTTTAGGTATTTATTTATTGAGAGTCTTATTGTGAAGAATTGAAATATGTTATTTGAGTTCTTCTGTTGCGGAAGTAGCAAAAGACACATTGTACCTGTGAATGCTGCCTTTCTCATAGTAATCTCCAGAAAAAAACACAAATAACTCAGTATGATCATTACAAAATAAATCTGTTGGCTTCCGTGTGTTTTTATTCATGGGAGTTATTCTTAAAATGTCTTACTTTTGACTTATTTTGTCTTTAATCGCACCACAACCTCTTTTTCTTCGACGGTGGTTTAATGCTCCTTGGTATCAAGGCAGATGACACTGAAATAATGGCCTCAGTAATAGCTGGTTGAAGACTTGTGTGCTATTTTACAAACTGTTGTAACATCAGACACAACCACAGTCCAACATAAAAAGTCATCACAACTTCAAAAATAGGAACATTTCCTGTATCCACACACCCCTTAAACACTGCCAACCAGTGTTTGTACCAGGGTTTAGGTTTTCATTAATGTACAAGCCCTCCGGTTATGTGCTATGCCTTTTTTTCTCCTCACAGTTTGGAAGTCTGTGTGAAAGCCAAGGCTTCCTTTCTGCTGCTTTTTAATAGCAGGTCCATCTTGCTGTGAGGGAGACTTCTTGTCAGTTTGTTCCAAAACATCATGTCTCTGTTGGCTCTCTCAAGAGCCTTTTGGAGTCCAACTCAGGAGCACTGGATGAGTCGATGAGGCTTGATGTTATTGAAGATCCATCGTCTGAAACTGAGTTGAAGGGGAACGCGGGAGTTCCGTGATGTAGACAACTTGGCTGTGCCTTGGCACTGATACAGAATGGAAGGTATGTGGATGACCAGGCGTATGGGGAAGATGAGGGGTCTCTGGAGTCTAAAGAGGACAATCTAACCCTCATCTTCAACTTCCTCTTCCAGCTCCTCCTCAAACACTCTTTCTGGTAGCCTGAAGCACTCATCAAAGAAATTTACCAAGGACTGGCTGAGGTGCTGCCTTGTTACTTCGCTGTGGATGAAGTGGCCTTCGTCTGGGTAGATCTGAAAGATAGAACAGCATAAAATAACCTAGGGAAAAGTCTGGTTTAGGGGAAGAAAACAAGGAAAAGTTTAATTTCTCTTTCGATTTGGATGTTCTAAAACACTTGTATTGATACTGAGAATGTCTCCAGGAAGTAGGGATGGAATGCATCGTGCTGTAAACTCACAGACTCAGATAATTGTCGCGATGAGTCGTAAGCTTGGGACTTTGGCTGAGATTCAGGCTCTGGCACAGAAGGTGGATTCGATCAAGGAGAGAGTTGACGAATCAGCACGGATTGGAATAGTTTGATAATGCCATTATTGGACCTGGAGGGGTTGAAGACCGACAGAACTCTAAGGCAGAGAGAAATTATCTCTGCCTGTACCCAAAACAATTCTTGCTATGTGAATCTGGTGCCCTTGAAGCCTGTGAGGCTGAAGTGTAAACTCCCCTCAGAAGAAATGTGGAATGCTGCGGTCACTATGGAAACTGTTTCTCCCTATCCCAGCCTGGGCGGGACTGTGACTGGTGAAGGCAGTGGAACCGTCTCTAGGAGTCAATGTGCCCTCTAAGCCATTATCTCCCTCCCCTGTCAGAACGGAGGTGGTGAGCGCTGCTCTGCGGCTGTGCACTCTGAAGTGAGGAGAGTCCCAGAACCTTCCATCCCCACCTAGTGGAGACTTATGTTGTGTAATGTCTGAAGTCTGTGTGCATTTCTGTCTGAGGTGTTTTTTTGCATAGCAAAGCTATCCTATCTGTCGGGGGTAACGCTGAAGTGCCCTTTTTTCCCCTCCCCTGACTCTGTCCTCATATAAACCCATAACGGTAGCGCGACTCGTGTTGCGAATGACCACAGTCAACAATTCTTGTCATGTGTCAACTATTGTATGGCATATTGTATGTGATAGAAAGTTATGTAAGTATATACTATAGTAAGATGTATATTATAAAAGAGTAATAAAGTAATATAAACAAATGTCATTGTATGATTTATTTTACATAGCAAAATTATCATAACACATACTATAATATGACACATTTTATGTGACAGAAAGAAAAGGCAACGTAGAATATGGTTAGATGTATTTTAAAAGACAGAAAGTAATGCACGCACATATACTATGGTAAATTTTACATGACAAAAGGTATTAAAACACACTAAAGTATGGCAAGTTTTTACATGAAATAGAAATGTAAACATAAAACATAGACGTACTTCACAAGACAGAAAGTAATGTATGCACATATACTATGGTAAAATTTACATGACAAAAGGTATTAAAACACATACTACAGTATGGTATTTTTATGTGATAGAAAGTAATGTAAACATATACTGTAGTAAGATGTGTATTATAAAAAAGAAAGAACGTAATATAAACAAATGCATGACTAGAAGTATTAAAATACATACTTTAGTATGGCATATTTAACGTGACAAATAAATGTAAACAAAATATAGTTAGCTGTATTTTACAAGACAAAAAGTAATGTACGCACATATAGTATGGTAAATGTTACATGACAAAAGGTATTAAACACATACAATAGTATGGCATATTTTATGTGACAAATAAATGTAAACAAAATATAGTTAGATGTATTTTACAAGACAAAAAGTAATGTTATGCACATATTATAGTATGGTAAAAGTTACATGACAAAAGGTATTAAAACACATACAATAGTATGGAATATTTTATGTGATAGAAAGTATTATAAACATACTATAGTAAGATGAAAATTATAAAACAAAGTAATAAACACAAATGCCAAAGTATTATTTAGTTTAGGCGGCTAAAAGTATTAAAACATACAGTATATTATGGCATATTATATGTGAGAAAGTAATGTAAACATTTACTATACCAAGATGTATATTATAAAAAAACATACTATAAATAAATGCCATAGTATGATTTTGACCAAAGTTATGAAAACACATACTATAGTATGGCAAATTTTTACCTGACAGAGAAATTTAAACATAAAACATAGTTGGATGTATTTTACAAGACAGAAAGTAATGTATGCATATATTAACACATACAATTGTATGGCATATTTTATGTGACAAATAAATGTAAACATAAACTAGTTAGATGTATTTTACAAGACAAAAAGTAATGTGCGTACATATTATAGTATGGTAAATTTTACATGACAAAGGGTATTAAAACACATACAATAGTATGGCATATTTTTTGTGATAGAAAGTATTGTAAACATATACTATAGTAAGATGAATATTATAAAACAAAGTATTATACACAAATGCCAAAGTATTATTTAGTTTAGGTGGCTAAAAGTATTAAAACATATAGTATATTATGGCATATTATATGTGAGAAAGTAATGTAAACATATACCATACCAAGATGTATATTATAAAAAACGTAATATAAACAAATGCCATAGTATGATTTTGACCAAAGTTATGAAAACACATACTATAGTATGGTAAATTCTTACCTGACAGAGACATGTGAACACAAAACATAGTTGGATGTATTTTACAAGACAGAAAGTAATGTGTGCACATATTAACACATACAATAGTATGGCATATTTTATGTGACAAATAAATGTAAACATAAAATAGTTAGATGTATTTTACAAGACATAAAGTAATGTGCGTACATATTACAGTATGGTAAAAGTTACATGACAAAATGTATTAAAACACATACAATAGTATGGCATATTTTATGTGATAGAAATTATTGTAAACATATACTATAGTAAGATGAATATTATAAAACAAAGTAATATACACAAATGCCAAAGTATTATTTATTTTAGGTGGCTAGAAGTATTAAAACATACAGTAGTATATGTGAGAAAGTAATGTTAACATATACTATACTAAGATGTATATTATAAAAAAAAAGTAAAATAAATGAATGCCATAGTATGATTTTTTTTTCAAGACCAAAGTTATTAAAACCCTTACTATAGTATGGCCAATTTTTTTCTGACAGAGAAATTTAAACATAAAACATAGTTGGATGTATTTTATAAGACAGAAAGTAATGTGTGCACATATTAACACATACAATAGTATGGCATATTTTATGTGACAAATAAATGTAAACATAAAATAGTTAGATGTATTTTACAAGACATAAAGTAATGTGCGTACAGATTACAGTATGGTAAAAGTTACATGACAAAATGTATTAAATGTATTATGTTTACATTTATTTGTCACATAAAATATGCCATACTATTGTATGTGTTAATATGTTGGATGTATTTTACAATTATTGTAAACATATACTATAGTAAGATGAATATTATAAAACAAAGTAATATACACAAATGCCAAAGTATTATTTAGTTTAGGTGGCTAAAAGTATTAAAACATATAGTATATTATGGCATATTATATGTGAGAAAGTAATGTAAACATATACCATACCAAGATGTATATTATAAAAAACGTAATATAAACAAATGCCATAGTATGATTTTGACCAAAGTAATGAAAACACATATTATAGTATGAGAAATTTCTACCTGACAGAGAAATGTAAACATAAAACATAGTTGGATGTATTTTACAAGACAGAAAGTAATGTGTGCACATATTAACACATACAATAGTATGGCATATTTAATGTGACAAATAAATGTAAACATAAAATAGTTAGATGTATTATACAAGACATAAAGTAATGTGGGTACATATTACAGTATGGTAAAAGTTACACGACAAAGGGTATTAAAACACATACAATAGTATGGCATATTTTATGTGATAGAAATTATTGTAAACATATACTATAGTAAGATCAATATTATAAAACAAAGTAATATACACAAATGCCAAAGTATTATTTATTTTAGTTGGCTTAAAGTATTAAAACATACAGTATATTATGGCATATTATATGTGAGAAAGTAATGTTAACATATGCTATACCAAGATGTATATTATAAAAAAAACTTAAAATGCCATAATATGATTTTTTTCACGACCAAAATTATTAAAACACATACTATAGTATGGCCATTTTTTTTCTGACAGAGAAATTTAAACATAAAACATAGTTGGATGTATTTTACAAGACAGAAAGTAATGTATGCACATATTAAAACATACAATAGTATGGCATATTTTATGTGACAAATAAATGTAAACATAAACTAGTTAGATGTATTTTACAAGACAAAAAGTAATGTGCATACATAATATAGTATGGTAAAAGTTACATGACAAAATGTATTAAACACATACAATAGTATGGCATATTTTATGTGATAGAAAGTATTGTAAACATATACTATAGTAAGATGAATATTATAAAACAAAGTAATATACACAAATGCCAAAGTATTATTTAGTTTAGGTGGCTAAAAGTATTAAAACATACAGTATATTATGGCATATTATATGTGAGAAAGTAATGTAAACATATACCATAACAAGATGTATATTATAAAAACGTAACATAAACAAATGCCATAGTATGATTTTGACCAAAGTTATGAAAACACATACTATAGTATGGCAAATTTTTACCTGACAGAGAAATTTAAACATAAAACATAGTTGGATGTATTTTACAAGACAGAAAGTAATGTATGCACATATTAACACATACAATTGTGTGGCATATTGTATGTGACAAATAAATGTAAACATAAAATAGTTGGATGTATTTTACAAGACAAAAAGTAATGTGCGTACATATTATAGTATGGTAAAAGTTACATGACAAAATGTATTAAAACACATACAATAGTATGGCATATTTTATGTGATAGAAAGTATTGTAAACGTATACTATAGTAAGATGAATATTATAAAACAAAGTAATATACACAAATGCCAAAAATATTATTTAGTTTAGGTGGCTAAAAGTATTAAAACATACAGTATATAAAGGCATATTATATGTGAGAAAGTAAGGTAAACATATACCATACCAAGATGTATATTATAAAAAACGTAATATAAACAAATGCCATAGTATGATTTTGACCAAAGTTATGAAAACACACACTATAGTGT